CAAAAATAAGACTAAGCTTCTTATTTTTTTTTAATTGGTGCCTCACCTGTTGCAATAAGTAGGAAAGACAAGAAAGATGGACTAAGGGTTTGGTATTCACACAAAAATGAAAGCTTTTAAACTTTTTTTTTTTTTTTAAACAAGAACACCTAGTTCCCAACCATTTTTCTAAATTTAAATGCTCCTGGTGAAAGAGCTTTAAATAGGCTATTGTGTCCTCTCACCAATCTGCCTTTTGACCATAGAATACAACGTCCTTGGCAAAGGCAGAGCACACACGACTGTTTCATAGCTGCCAAAGTTCACAGTCCAACAATTTATTTCAGGTCACATTTGCACCCTGGGTTGTGAAATAGGTGTTGCCTGTTAGTTATAACCTGCCCAATTGCCCCAGTTTACACTCATAGGGGTTATCCTGTACCACCCTTCACTTCTCCAGAGCTTTCTCACCTGTTACTTAAAAAAATAATAAACCAAGTAAAAATGGCGGCATTCCACTTAACTACTTCTCACACAGCTCCCAGGACTACAAATCTCTTGGAAAGTCATCAGCTACTCACGTTTGAATGGCATCAAGCCCTGCCATCTTCATCTTCAACAAGCGGTCTTTCCAGTAATACCGGGGCACCCGTGAGTAGTGAATGCTGCCAGAGATGTACCGGAAAGGCTCCCCATCTTTGACAAAGCAGTTGGAATCATAATCAATCCCAAAACTCCTCTGGGGTACATTCTGTATACAAAACAAACAAACACACAATGTAATTTTTTTCTGCCTTGAAAGACACAGAGAACAGTCTATACAACACCTGTGGGTTGCCCATAACAGAAGATACAATGGTCCTAAAACAACAGATGGTGAATGACTAGTTACCTATAGCCCACCTGAGCCTTAGCACAACACAAAAGCAAAAAGGAACCGGTGCAGTGTGTCACAGGACAAAAGAACAAGAGTACAAACTAGCAGATATAGCTCAAAATAAAAACACACCCTCCTGAAAAACTGAGGATGAAATTACTCAGCAAACATGCCTATCCCTAGACTGTCATTAAATGGAGCAACTGAGTGAGATAACTCTCTACAAACATTTCAAGAGTACAAATTTCAGTGAGGAAGACTACAGTGTGTTGCAGCTGCAACAGAGGCGATTTTTTGCAGAAAACCTAAAAAAAGTTGTGGAAAATGTCCTAAATGCACATAGCAATTCAAAACATTCTGCCAATAGTGAAAAAGTGAAAGTGTGGTCAACATATAACAACAGATATGGGAAGATACAACAATAAGCTGGCAGGGACACCAGAAATGCAAGGGACTGCCAAGTGTGGCACAACAGAAGCTTTTCATGCTCTCATTCCATAAACACAGACCCATTCTTAAGATTACTTAACAGAGAGTTCTGTGAAAGTTGAAATAAATCTTGACTCAAAAAAGGCATGGGCATGCCACACTTCTACAAAATCAGGACCTTACAGAGCTCAGAAATACAAACCAACTGCTGTGGAACAATTGTAACTCAAAGGCTGGGATTCTCCATAGGAAATTATGATTCTGTAGTAACTCCAGGCTGTTAGGCCTCAAGTAAACTGTCACTGCAAAGGATGCTAAGATATGTACCAGCTGCTTACTTTCTGTTCAATTCAAATATATGTGGCTTTCTGTAGATCTTTCAGTTAAAACCTGCATCTTGATTCCTGGGCATGCTGCACTAGGATGAAATTGTACTGTGTGTATCCCTGAACAAAACCATTCTCCCCTACAAACACTAAGCAGATGTTTCACATTCTTCAAATGTTTTTTTACTGTAGGGTCCTGTGACAAATCACAGTACTAATGCAGAGCTGAGTGTTCCAAATGATCATGACTAAATGGAACTCAGAACCCAGGTGCAGCAATGCAGTTCTGCAATGCTATAAGAGGAGAAAACAAAGGCATCATTAGGGATAAAAGCACATTATATATTAAAAGGCCACTATCCCTGGAAATAAGGAGAGTCAGAATTGCTGTGGTTTCCGTCTGCAAGAGAATTTTAATCCTCTCATTTAGACTTTAGACCACATCAAGAGGCCTATGGAAAAGACACTTGTTCCATTTGTGGCAGATAACTGTTGAGATGATGAATGTTGAAACAACTGTTTACACACCCCCAGGGACAAACACCTCTGGCAGAGAACCAAGGTTGCCTTAAAACAATAAAACAATTAAAAGAAGGTATCAATTATGAAAGTGTCATCATTGAACCAGTTACCATTCAGAAGTCATGCTTCTAAAGCTGTAAGTCACCTTCCCAACACATATGCTTCCTGACACAGTGTTATTACAGGGGTGAAAGAGGGAGGAAGATTCCAGAGTACTTCCGATTTACCTCATTCATCACCCATTGCAAACAGACTTCCACTCATGATCAATTACTCAACAGTATTTTATTGCCAATTCATGACCCAGGGCTTGCAATGAAAACAAGAGAGCTCTCATCATGAATTTATGTCTAGCTCTGTCAATATTGCTCATATTGACATATATTCACAACTATATACTCAGGGTTGTGAATATGCAGGGAATTCATTCCCACTCTATCTCCCTAGATGGGGTAGGGGGTCTGCTCATCTGGTGAGCAGATTCAACAGACACACCCTAACAGCACTGTTTGGGATGCCAGCTCATTCATAGCAAATCACATCAGTGCCAGCTGAAAATTCAGACCCTTAGAGGCAATGTTGCATCTTACTTGCTCAGAGCATACTCACATGAAAAAGGGAAGAACTAAAGAATTTGTCCTTTCTTAAACGAAGGAAAAATTTATTTTGCAATCTTAATACTATTTTGTCATTTTATAATGTGTATATCTCCTGATATAAAAAAAACCCCCAACATATCTTCAACACACAAATTTATTTAACAGTGGCTAGAATCTCTCAGTCTCCAAATTTACAAAGTAGGGTTTTTTTCTTATTTGGAAAGCAAGCAGATGTGGATACAAATTCTCAACAAACCTCTCCACCTGTGAAGGTTTCTGGCCTCTCCTATCTAGACCATTCAAACACAGAACAGCCCTTCCTCTACCCCAAAGCTTAAGTACCAAAATTGAGAATCACAAACCACTTCTGCTCCTTCCAAAAAATTCTCTTAATAACCCTTCTCTTTCCTTGCAGCAGTCCTTTTCTCTGCATCACATTCTCATCTCTTCAGTCTGCACCTTTTTCTCCTAATATGCTTCAGGAAAATTTAATAGTGGCCTTACCTTTCCCACTTTTCACCATGGCTTGCTCAGCAGTGTGGGTGTATGATTTTCCAAAACTAGTCAGGTTTATTGTCAGTAGCTTTTTGTTAGTAAATACAATGAGTGTGTTAAAACTATTCAGCATGAACTGCTCAATATATACTGGTACAAAATAAGAAGTCATTAGAGGCATATTTCTTGATATAAGAATAAAATTTTATTAAATCCCAACATTTAAAGCATTTGTTATATCACATTTTACATATTTTTAATCCATTCTATAGTAATTATATAATAAATACAACTTTCACAAAGTGATGATACTAATCTATTCTGCTATTAATTCTGACAGTAATTAACTGCCCTCCCACCCCTCAGTGAACTGGCCTTTTATAGAAAGAAATACATATTCATTTAGTTAAGTTCTCCAGATAAATACATTTCACACATACACACACAGACAAAATTAAAAAAAAATCAAAAAAAATTACAAAATAAGCAGCACGGCAATTTTTCTTCATCTGGAATACTGAACATGGGTCTACATTGTGGATGTTCAAGTCAAATTGGAAAATGTACAGGAAGAACCTTGAAGGACAGTTAGATATTACTCTATTAGATTTTAGAAACAGTTAATTCCTTTTATCAAGAAGAAAGTTGATCTAAAATACTTTCCATTCATATTTAAGAAGCAAAATAAGAAAAGGTTTTGAAATGTTTTGGCACAGAAAGAAAACATGTTAAGTAATAACTAATCATCAAGCAAACAAGCTTTCAGAGGGAGAGACTTATAGAAAACAAATTGAACAAGAACTAAATTACAGTGGGAGAACTCAATAAAGTTATGAAATGACAATATGACCACTCCTAAAAGGATGCATATTGGCTTCTGAAAGGACATATAACAATCTTTCAAGAGAGGCACATAAAAAGTAATTAAGAAATCCTGGGATGGAAGGACCTCTTCAGCTAGGTTTTTGCACACTTTTGGACAGAATGAAGAGAAGAATAAAAAGAGCAAGAAAAAAAAAAAAGAAAAAGTAATACTAGCAACTCACTGAGAAACTGACACCATCTAAAATCAGTCAACAAATGCCTCCTGTTAAGGAAACTTGCCTTACTATTAGTCTTCTTTACATGGTAAAGCACTCAGTGCAATAAGTGAAAAGCTTTTAACTGAAGGCATGTCGGTAAGTAAACAGAGGGTTACAGGCTATCAAAATTCTCACTGCCTCATTTGACATTATGTCACCAACTGCACAGTGGTGTCACTCACTGCCCACGTAGAGTTAAATATACATGCAAACTTCAGGATGCTTAAGCAGGTATCATTTCGTGAGCATAAAAAAAAAGTTCACAAAATTATAGGTGTCAGGAAACAGAAATTATCCAGTTTGGCAAGTAGAGACTCTGACTGGTCAGGTGTTCAGTTTTCAGATTAAAAGAGCACTGACTTCTCCAACAATTCCACTGACCTTCATGACACATTTACAGTATTTCTCAATATTCCTGAGTAAAAAGGCAAGATGTTTGTACATAGGAACAGGATACAAAACCAGCCTAGCAGTTAGAAACTCTGCCTGGGGGAGGGCTGAAGGAAGCGGATGAAGCGAAACTTCAAAATTTATTAACTTAGAGAAAAACTCAACTTTACAAAGCTTATAGCACTTTTCAAATACCCCTCCTTCAAAACAAGAATGGAAGCTGAAGAACAAAACAGAAGTGTGCTTCAGGTTCACACAGAAGTGTGCTCATGTGCTTCAGGTTCACACAGGAAGGCAGGAAAAGACTGAACACCTCAGTTCTGGTCTTGCCATCCTCAGTCTCCCACATAAAAACTCTCTTCTGCCCCATGCTACATGGGTCTGCCTGAGAGGAACCCAGGTGCTGCTGGGCAGAAAGGCAGAGCAAGGGAAGCCCTGTGGCTACAGACACCCAGGACAACGATACACAAGTGCTCTTAAGGAAAGTCACCCACTGCAGAGTTTAGTCTACTTGAAAAAGGACACAATTTACTTGAGATATTAAAGCATTCAAACAAAGTTCAAGCATTAACCTATTTGCATTGTTTTCAAACAGCATCTCCTTACTCTTGCAAGAGAAAAATGACAGAGCAGAAACTAGGCAGAAAGAAAAAAACCATAGGATGAAAAGACATTTAGTATTTCAGCTTGGGATTTTGTGCTCTACATCAGGAGGTACTGCATGCTCAGACAGCAACAGAAATTAATTTTGAAATTTCTTTCTCATTTGCTTTTATTAGAGCTATTTTCAGTAAGTAATTACTAGATGCTCAGCTATTCTGGAGAAATGCCTGAGAATGACTGCTACTTTCATCCTTTGATGTCAGTCTCACCAACTTTTTAACTCGAAAAAAATTAGATTTCAGGAACTGATGGCTGGCATCTTACTGTACTAGTAAGCACAGACTGGAAGCCCTCGTGCATGTTGCAGACAGCTAGAAGGATACGGATATCCAGCCTCAATTAAAAAAAAAAATCCTCAACCATTCCCTTCCCCTAAGATTTCTAGTATAAGACTTCTACATTTTGCATACTCAGCGGGAACTCTGCAGTCCCTTCTGCAAAACATGCACGAGTGATTTCACTGCATGAGATCAGAACTTTGCCTGCCTGAGATTGGATAAGGCAGCTGCCTGATAGATAGCAAATATTGGAACATGAAGTAGGTGCAGGAAAGAGATATTACTAAACATGCACAGGACATACATTATCTGCATGACATCAGCATTAGCTTTCAATGCAGAATCTCAGCGATAGCGAACTCAAAGAACTAACTTCTTCAGTATTTTAACATGCCCCAGATTTCTTTCACAGGCCCAAGATACAGTTTAGTGTTTTCTGCTCAAACTTAATAGAACCTGCTGAAGTTCAGCCCAATACATCTTCTCTGGCTTCCCTGAAAAAGGATTTGCTTTCACAGCAGAAGAGCCAATATACTGACCAAAAAAAGAATGGCAGAAGTCTGTCAAATGGAAAACTCAAGCAGAACGTAGGATTATCTCCGTTATTTCAGCTCTGCTGCCCAGCCTCATGGGTATTCCAAAGTACATCGTCCCTGGGCTGACATAGACAAAGGTGTTCTGCCCAACTTTGTACAAGCCAACAAAGAATGGATTCAGAAGATAAGCTCCAGCATTTAGAGGGAAAATCTGCCCTCCATGAGTATGGCCAGAGAGAATTAAATTTATGTCTGGTCTCTCCTGAAGGGCCCACTTTGCAGCAACTGGCTGATGAGCTAAAAGCACTATTGCATGCTCACTGCTACAACCTCTGAGAGCTTTTTTCAAATCCATGCCATGTCCCGAGTAGCGTAATACATCTGCTTCAATATCATCCACGCCAGCCAGGCAGAACCAGTCATCAGTGCTCTTTGGCGAGACAATCTTCACATTCTCATTATGCAGTGGCTGAATGTTAAATGATTTTAACAGCTCAAACCAGTTGCTAACATCTGATGTGTAGTACTCATGGTTTCCTGTGACAAAGTACGTCCCCAAAGGGGAATCAAGTTCTCCAAGAGGCTCAACAGCAGGTCGTATGATCTCTGCCTCAGCGTCAGTCAGGTCCCCAACGATCACCGTGATATCTGGTTTTAAAGCCTTAACCATTCTCACTATCATGGCAAGCTTGGTCTTGCCAACAGTAGGCCCCAGATGGATATCTGAAAGCAACACCACTTTCAGGTTAGTCATGGTTGAGGGCAGCTTGTGAACTGGAATCTCCACTGAATTCACAGCAGGAGGTTGGGAAGCATTTAACAGCCCGACAACAGTCAGCACAAGAGTCAACATGACTGCCAAAACTGGTTTCATTGCTGTTCTGTTCCTGTTGCCAGTGCCTGCCTTAGTGCCTCTCCCCACTAAGAACTTGTAAGCCTGCTCTACAGAGCCTAGAGTGAAGAGGAAGAAGATGAGAATGATATAGGCCCCAAGGCAAGTGTAGGCAGCTAAAGAGAAGAAATAGGGCTCTTCTGCAACAAGAAATAGCAACGTAAAGAAGCTTGAATGAGCCAAAGCTAGAAACATGAACACAGCTATTTTCCACAGCATGAAACAGAGGGAGCTGGCAGCTGAAGACCTGGTGAACATGGTGACTGTGCTTTTCCAAACATGAAGAGATCCCACCAGCATGAGTGTATTGGCAAATAGTGCCATCTGCAGCCTTATAACCCAGTGCCGCGTCCTGAGATCGAGTTTTTCTGCCAGAAAACTCCGCGACAGCATCATAGAGAAGAAAACCATTCCTGCAGCCACTGCAGCCTTTGCTTCAAGGGGCAGTTGCTTGAAGGAGATCATCTTTGCTTCCTGACTGCTCCCTTCTGTTCTGCAGAAGTCTCCAGTAGGCAATAATGTGGTTATGAAGGGGTGCCTTGGGTCAACAAAGCCTGCAACCAGGAACCAGTATCAGCCGTTTTAAAATATTACACACATTCCCTTTTTCCCAGACTGCAATAAAGGGATTGTTACTTTACATACTACCCAAGATGCTGGGTCATGCAGAATCACTGTTATAAAGACACAGAGGAGATGTCCTGATGTGGACTAAATCAGACAACAGAAAAGACTGGATTCTGGCAGTCCCCTTCCAAGCTCCCTGCCTGCAGCCCTCTATGATTCCTCCCCCACCCTTTTTTTTTTTTTTAATACGCTCTTTTCTCATTAAGACTTCCTTATAGCAGATGGCAATAGATCGCAACAGGGATGCAATGAGTCCTGGAAACAACCATTATAGTATTTGGAAATTTCATACATGTTCTGGGACTAAGTTGTTTCTGATATTAATTTAACATGTGTTTTCTGTTCTTCTTCCCAAGCAGTTGGCTCCATCCGAAAAGCAGGCATCACCCTACCTCATTCTTACCGAATGCAAGAGGTTCTACTAACACATGCTACAGCAGCAGTGAAATCCCCACTGGAACAGCTACCAGATGCAACTGTGGTCCCAGAAACTGCAGATGATGTATCAGCAGATATCCTTGCCTGCAGTTGCGAATCAGACTTCTCCAAAGCCCTGAAAATCAGTAGGATCAGTGAAACTCACATTGTGTTTTGCTACTCGCTGCCAGATCACTTCCACTACATGTACAGTTTCCAAGTTTCAATGCCTACTTCAGCATATCCTATTCTAACAGGGATTAGTTGAAAAGGGATCAAAACATCACACACTCTGCTCCTTTAGAAGGGAGTAGAGTCTACCACATATCTGCTCACAGATTGAAAACAAATAAGGATCAATCATGTTTGAATTGCACCGGAATTCCCTGGTTTGCTCTGTATTTTGCTCAGAGTCACAGTGTTTCTACTAATGCATATTTCTATTTAAAACAAACCTACTGTTTCATTTTAATTGTAGATGAAAAAAGTTTGGATAGTCTTTTATAATATACAATAGAGGTCACGTCTGACATAACAGTCATGCAGTGGCATATGCTTATTTTCAACACACTTCCTGTCCCACAGTCCACACTTAACTAGAGAAAAAGCAATCATTACAGCCAAAAATATCTCAGAACTAGGACACAAAAGCGGCCTTGGAGGGCTCAGCAGTGAGCCTGAGCCCAGAAGTCTCAAAACTGCAGTTTGCCAGGTTGCTTATTTGTAGCATATACATTCCCAAGCTAATTTAAAAGAACATTAGCAGCTCCGTGATAACAGGACCCTGCTCTATTTTGAAGACTAGACCAAATTTTGAAAGGATCCCTTCCCTCATTGCTTGTGTCAGGGAAATGTGGGCTGATAAGAAAAACCGTGTCTGCCACCCTCAGTTCCTCAAGCTCTCATATTAAAACCCTGCTATTTTACACAAACAAAGCTAGGAAGGATAAGAGCATAAAAAATGCCCTGCTAATCTACTGATCCAAGTCCATAGGTCCTCTAGACACCAGGCAATATTCTGTCTGGACAACAGCAACAAGAAATGCTGTTTAAAGAAATTACATGACCCTGGCCACAGTCCATGGTCTGCTCCCTCATACTCCTCCAGCTGATAAAGCTGCTACACTAGGGATGTTCGAAAGCAAATCCTTGCCTAGTCATTTCTGAATGTTGTTTATGAACCTGATATATTTAAATTTGGCAAATCCAATTTTTTTAATCCAGTAAACACTGTCTGCTTCTACAACCTCCCATGGCAGCAAATTCTTGAAACTCACTATATATTTTTACAGTACTTAATCTGTTTTAAACTAATCTATTAAATCCCCAGGAGTGCTAATACTACCAAATTTGGTGAGTATTGGTTCTCCATTCCTCTTACCCATCAACCTTCAGAATTTTGGAAGGCTCAACCATAACTTCCCCCACATTTACTGTCACCCATTCCATAGAGGTCTCACTTGAGGCTGTGCTGCTTTTCATAACAACTTCAACCACCTGTGCACGATTCAACTGCACCATCTACCAAGGTAACAGCGACACACTGCCTCAAACTCAAGGCATGAGCCACAACACTGTCAAGACCAAGGATTTGTCCTTAGGCAGTGGTAGGGGACAAAGTGCCTACTACAGACTCGATGCAGAACAGGAAAAACTCCTTTCCCTCCTCTCACACACCACAGGACGAGCGAGTTTTCCCATGGGATCGGCACCGGTTCCCGCACCGCCCTTGGCTGCTCGGCGAGGCCCTGCACCCCACGACTCCCGGGAGCGCAGGGAGCCCCGGCGCTGGCCGAAGGACAGCTCCCACCACCATTCCGGGCCGGACACGACCCCGGCCATCCCCCCCCGGAGGGCGCCACCGCCAGCCCTTCCCCAGCTCCACACGGCCTGCTCGGGACAAGGGCACGGACCCTTCCTCGTCCCTGCCGCGGGACCTCCCCCTCGGCGCAGCACAATCCCGGCACCCGCGCCCTGCTCGCCGCCCATGAGCCCCAAATCGCTCATGGTTTAATTAAAAACGGACCAAGGGCGGAGCGCCTTCCTCCAGCGGCGGCAAGAGGCCCCTGCCAGCCCTCAGCCACGCCGGAGCCCCTCGGAGCCGCCCCCCACGGCCCCAGGTGCGCTTGGAGGAGGGAGAGGCGAGGAGGGACTCACCGCCGCCCGGAGGAGCGCGGCCAGGGCGGCCAGCGGGAGCAGCAGCCGCAGCATGGCGGGCACGGCCAGGAAACGGCGGCGTCAGCTGACGGCTCCGCCGGGAAACGGGCATCCTTCCTCCCGCCCCACCGGCACCCACGGCACCGCCCTCCGCGCCCTGACTCCTCCTGCCCTTGCCTCCCACCACCTCCCAGGAGACTTCCCCTAGGCAGACCATCGTCTGCCCCTGATGCGTGGGGGCTAGGTGCTCTCCGTCCCGTGTTAAAGCAGTCATGCCCTTTCAGGAGCTCACAGCAGACTTTTTGGATATAACCTCCAATATTGTGTAAGTCCAAGGATTGCTCCCACATGAAGTTTGCAAGACAGAAAGGTCTTTCTGGCCTTTACCTCTCCTGGGCAGCCCATAATTCACACTGGGGCTAGGTGCTTTCCTTCCCATGTAAAAGCACTGTCATCCTCTTTCAGGAGCCCAGCACCGAAATTAAGATACAACCTCCAATATTGAATACATCTCCAAAGATTGCCCCACAGAAAAGGTGCCCAGACAGAAGGCTGGTTCTGGCCTTTATCTCCCGTGGGCAGACGATTGCCTGCAACACCACACAGGCTCCAGGCCCTGGAACTTGTCCCAGCTCCCCAAAGGGGATGACGGAACACCCGCCCCCACCACCTTGGCTGGGCAGAAATGCCTCGCACACCCGTGCCAAGGAAATGCAAGAGTGATCTCCCAGTCTACAGGCCAGTGACAGAGGCATGGATGCCGAAGGGACAAAAAGAGGGTGGGGAGATGGCCGTACTCTCACTTCCATCCATGTGACTGATTTCCACCTTGCAGGCAAGGACGTTTTTGAAGGAGGATGACAAAATCCAGGGCCGGGGAGAGGAAGAAGGGAAGGAATGGAAAAGAAAAAAACAAAATGGAAAGGGGCAGAAGCAAAAGGCAGAAGCAAGAAGGCAGTCCTCCCTGGCACTCTCCTGATAGGAGTTGGGGCCACCTCTGCTTAGCTTCCCAGCAAAGCAGTGGCCACATGATTGGCAGTTTGGCTGTCCACTACTCCAGCATCTCTGAAGTCCTCCCATGTCCCCTGGCCTTGCTTCCACTGGCCATACACTTTCCCTTTTTCACCTTAACTCCAGAAGAAGATCCCGGCTCAGCCAAACCAGCCTTCCACTTCGGCTGCTTGACTTCCAGAGTTTTGGAATTGCCCACTCCGGTGCTCTTCAGAGGTGACACTTGAAAACTGACCATCACTGATGGACCCTAGCTCCTTTGAAAGGGGACCTCACTAATTAGTTCCCTGAGCAGCTTGAATTCTGCTCACTACATATCCAGAGTTGAAGTTTTGCTGTCACTTTTCTTTCTGTCAGGGGAGATTTTAAACTTGATTGTTTCATGGTCACTGTGGCCAAGATGGTCCCAAATCACCACTTCATCCACGAGACCCTGTCTGTTAACAAATAACAAACCAAGGAAGGCACCTTTCCTAGTCAGTTCCCATAGTACCTGTACCAATAAGTACAGGTGTTTTAGGAATCTTCTGGACCTGTTTGTATCAGCTGTGTTGATCTACAGGTACTTCTTGGTTGCTTAAAGACTAATTTGTTGGTGTCATCATCCTGGCTGGGTGGCCTGTAGTAGACTCCTGCAATGACATCTGCTTTATTTGTTTGTCCTTTAATCCTTACCTGAAGGCTCACAACCCTGCCATCACCATCAGGAAGCTCTGTACATTACAGCCCTTTTGTTACATACAACACCACTCCCCCGCCTTGTCTGCCCTGCCTGTCTCTCCTACAGAGCCTGTAATCATCCATTACAGCACATCAGCCACAGGTTTTGCCTATGCCAATGCTGGTGCATCTCTGGGACTGAGCCAAGGCTTCTAAGATCCTCTTGCCTTTTCCTTGTGCTGTGTGCATTGGTGTAGCAACATTTCAGATGCAGTTCCTTGTACCCAGCACTTTGTGTAGCCGACTGAGGATCTCACTGGCACACAATCCCTCAAACTTTGGTGTGCCACCCCATTGCTCATTGGTGGCGAGTCTGGTTTTATCTCTTTCCCCTGCACATTTATGCAGGCAAACACTCAAGAGTTAAAAGCCACTGTATGAACCAGCCTACAATGTGAGCAACAAAGCCAATGATTCTCCTAAAATAGTAGTTGGACCTGAGATCTGTCAAGTTTTTATATCCCTTAAGGACAAATGCAGCCAACAGAACATTTACTCTGAGTGGGTACTCCAAACTAGGCAAGCAGGCACAGACAGCTCCCAAATTAATTAAGAATACACAGCATAGGAATGTGAATGCCTGACAGGAATGAGAATGTTCAACAGCAGCCCTTGGGTTTTTTACCCCCTGAACAGGAGCTAGGTCTGGTCTGTCTGTCCTTGCTTGCCAAGTGCCAAAGGCACCATTACTGTCTTTACTATAAGAAAGTATCTCTACCAAGCAAAAGAAGGCTGAACCTCAAGGCCAGTGGAGCCAAACGCAGCTGAGCATCAAACAGATGTACACACTTGGAAGAGCTTTCAGAATTCCACAGCACTCAGCCACGTGATTTCTGGTGACACAGCCTGAAGCAGCAGGCTCCAAAGAATAGCCATCTCTTGGCTCATGACTTGTGTTTGATATGGACTTGGGCCATCAACAAGTGCAACAGATGAGGAAAAACTGAAGAATGACAGCAACTGAAACTAACTCTTATTTTTCCATGCCATTAACTGGTTATAAAACTATCTAACTTGTCGGCTTGTAGAACAGAACACAGTAACTAACAAAAAGAAAGCCTTTTAGTCAGAACAGATTATCACGTTGTTACAAGAAAGTCATGATTTGGACTTACAAAGTCAGCATTATCATTAGTACCTTTTCTGAAGAGGAAATCCTCGTCTTTTATCAAGTGTTAAGTGCAAGAGTGTGTAAATGAAACAAAAAAACCCAACCCACACACCAAAACACACCCATACCCAAAAAACTCTATTCAGATTTTATATCTTTATGTGTATCTACAGTGTGTTTTTTCATGGGGAATGTCTCATTCTTGTGTCTCAGCCCTACCCTGCAGTGACACCCAATAGGAAAAGCACACCAAAACGTGGCACTACCAAAATGCTTCTTGCTGTCCACTCTTCCTTCCAGTTATGCCCATGCTTTACAGCCCAGAGGGCTTTTCTGCTGGCAGTAATTGCTGCTATTACTAATGAATTTACTGGTGGGTTTGGTTAATTGCTTTTCAGAGGCAAATAGGTGAATAATAAATTGTGCTTATTTCTCTTCAGCTGTGTATGATCTAATAATTTGCCTGTTATTTCCAAGTTCAGATCCTCAGATGCCTCTCAACAAACAGTCCTTTAAAGCCTGTTTAAAAAGGCTTTTCATGAACACAAGATGGATTTTTACCTGATTCAGAAGAAAGTAAAGCCAGGCTGAGGTGGGTCACCTAGGGCTATTGGTATTGGCAGTTTTAACCCAGAACGTTGTGTTTTGAATTGTGGGGTCCAATCCTGTTCTTTGAAACTTACTGTTTGCTGTTTAATGCTAAAAGGACACCAGTAAAAGCCATTATTTGTCCTACTGTGTCATTACAATGGAATGTTTAGTATCTCTTGGTACCAAATTCCAGAAATATTAAAATAATAACGAAACATTATATTGATCATCTGTGTGAAAAATACAATCTGCCCTTCAAGTCCTTTCTTAGAACCTTTTTGGAAAAGTTTATTTTCTGTCCAGTCTCACCCAAATGTGTGCCAGAGCCTACATGGCACATTGTGGTGTGATATGCAGAGAGAATGGGGGAAAGAAAAACTGCTAGATGGATTTGCTGCATATCTGTGCCTTAAATGTTTTACTATATTACATGGTACGTATTTTACTACATGCTGTAATTTTACTATGATACATAATACGGTAGTGCCATTACAGATTCCTTCTTTTAGGAAGAAATTCTTTACAGAGAGGGTTATCAGGCATTGAATGGCCTACCCAGAGAGGTGGTGGATTCACCATCCCTGGAGGTTTTTAAAAAGTGATTGGACATGGCCCTTAGTGCCATGATATAGTAATTGGAGTTGGATCAGGGGTTGGACTTGATGATCTTGGAGGTCTTTTCCAACCCAATCTATTCTGTGATTCTATGATTCTATGATTCTGTTTTTCTCACAATAGCTTCAGGCTAAGACTATGTCATGGCGTGTTGACTATTACTGTATCTGAAAAAAAAAAGAAACAAGAACTGAGCTCAAATAATAAGAAAAAAAAGTCAAGAAATACAAAGATGAGGGGGAAAAGACTGAAAAAGTGGTAGAAAAACTGCTGGGAGTTTGTGCAGGATGCCACTCCACTATAAAAACATCATCCTGTTCACTATGGAAGGTGCAGTAGGTGCTGCACACAATTTTATTTGCCATTTTGAAAAACTTACTCTGTAGAATAACTTTGAAACAACAAAGCAAATCACCAAAATGTGCTTTTACTCATTACAGAATTTGTTTTAAAGTGCTGTGACCCTTGCTGATTTAAATAAGATAATTAATTCCCAACTACTTACTAACATTAGGAACCCTGTTCACATTAAACTTGATGCTGCTGATTTTCAGGGATATTCTGTAACATCTCAGTGCTCTGTAAAAGCAGCTGCTGATTATATGGCTCTGAACAGGGATTGCTGAAGCATACCTTGGCAGCAAACAGGAATTGGGTTCACAGAAATATAGATATATATATTTGTAGAAAATGGGTAACTGTATCTTCAGTACTTAGTAATTCTGCACTTTAAACCTGTCCTATTTTTGTGGAGGAAAAATAATACTACACTTAGGGTAGTGTAAATAATATTTTTTTCTTCCAAGTTCTGTGTCTGCAACCCATCCTCACAGCCAAAACTAAGTAGGGTTTTGGCTATTGTTAGAAGTTCACTTGGGCAGGCTTGGGCTGGTGCATTTTTGGGCTGGATGTTCTAATTACCTGGGCCATTCAGAGAGTTTTCAGGATAGTTTTTTACTTTAGCTTTCCACCTTTCTAAACAGAAGGAAAAATTTAATGACTCTGTACTCACACTGGAAATGGGAATAAAACACTCTTTTGTTTGCTTGGCATGGAGACACTGATCTCACTGATTTAGCTCAGTTGGTTAGAGCATGGTGCTAATAATGCCAAGGTTGTTGGTTCAATCCCTATACAGGCCATTCACTTAAGAGCTGGACTCGATGATTCTTGTGGGTCCCTTCCTACTCAGAATATTCTGTGATCCTGTGGTCTGTAAAATATCCTGCTCATAGAGGACAGTGAATTGCAGCCACAGCCTCTCCTAAACAGACTATCTGAGGGGTTGTTGAACCTCTAAAATAGCCTGCTTGGAAAGAAGCAGGTTAATGTCCTCTTAACTGAGTGGAAAATAGATATATTAAAAGCCAGATTTAATGTAAACACAGTGCAGTTTTCACTGTGGCAAAAGGAAACTTCTTGATCAGCCTCAGCAGAGGGTATAATCCCAAGTTTTGTTCTGTTTCTGCAGAATCTTTCCAGAACCTGATCAGCATATCAAGCTGGGTACATATCTGCCCTTAGTACAGAGGAGCAATAAATGAGGAGCTTTAAAAATCATCTCAAGTTGTGCTTAGTATTAAGCACTCTGAATTTAAAAAGAAGACATATAGGAAATGCTGCTGGTTTTAATTTTCCTGTTTACTTTAAACTAACAAACAAAAAAGCATTACACTTGCAAGTCCTCTTGATGAACATGAAAGCAACATATTTGTAAGAAAAAGAAAGATGCTTAGTTTTGTAATGATATAAGCTGAAGGGAAATCACAAGTTATCTCATGATGCATGCTGGTATTGCAAGAACTGACCACATTGTCTCAGTTTTTGTTTGAAAGGAACTAACTGTGGATGGCACTGAGCAAAGATAAGGAGCAAGTTTCACGGAAATTTGGCAAATAGACAAACGTTCACACCGTTCTGCTTCTGTTCCCACCCTCGGGGGCAAAAAAGCTGCTGCTGTCAGCAACACTCACATTTAACAAATGGCATTTGACAGAAAAGTAATGAACAAGATGAGCACTTCCCTGTGCTCTGGTCTGGACATTTATCTGCCCCAGGGACTTTTAATACAGCGGAACGGGCTGTGTGAAGTAGTGGGATGAGATAAATTTATTACTTTGCCTCTAGGGAGAATTAAATTAAGTCTGATTAAAGTCACTTAAATCCTGAGCACGAGGGCTCAGATTCATGAAGGAGAGACCAAAGAATGTGAAGATCCTTTGCATCAGAGGCTTTACCCATGGGCATGCCTTTACCCTACTGAAGTTAATGTAGCTCTCCCAGTGCTGAATCAGCTTGTATTACACCAAGGGCCAAACAAGCCTGAATTAGGAATAATTACCATGGGTCCTCTGTCAGGCAGCCATTTGCCAACCCAGAGTAACTTGTGCCAGAGGCCAGAGACTATGCCTGTGCTTTCACACCTGTGCTTTCCTTAGCAGGTACCCTGGAGTTTAGCTGAGATTACTCCCTCACTTCTGTTTTCCTACTGGAGGGCCCAGGCAGTGAGAGAGGCCAAGTGTTATACAGGGGTATCATCGCATACAAACCTACACCTGTTTCAGGAAGAGTTTCAGGATGACAACTAAGTATTAAGCATATGCAGACACCTTAGTGGTGGAGCGTGGAGCAGCTGGGGCTCCTTCCCTTTGGAAGGAGATGCCACGCTGTTGACACCGGAGCATAATGCCAAGTAACAGTGGAGCCCAACTCAAAACCTAGCCAGAATCATTGTTTTCTCCTTAACTGGAACTGAGCCTGAACCACAGTTTGGAAGTTTCCTTGAAGTGTGAGTTGAATAAGCATCAGTCATAGCTGAATGATATCATGAAAGCAAAATACTGTGATGCTTGGACTTCCTGCAGAAACAGGAACTTAAATCAGAATAATTTGCATGTCAGCTTACCAGAAAGAAGACATAAGATGTGCAAATTCATATATTTATTAACCACTGCTCACTGCCTTCTTCTTCAGAATCTTTCCTGTCACTCTTCTCGATGGTTGTCACCAGCAGGAACTTTACATGACTACCTGCAGTCCCGTCCTGAGTCTCTCCACTTTCTGCAGCAGGAATAGCCTGGTCTTTCCTCTTGAAAGTGGTGTACTTTTGTTTTGCTCCATTTTGCTGTTGCTTGCAAAGCACCAGTTTTTGCAAGGCATGATGCAGTTCCTGCTACCCTGGTTCCTCCTTGCTTGCAGCCTTGGTGTGCAACAATGGGAAGCTGTGCCTGTGGGTCAGCCTGAAGTGGGCAGGACTAGACCCTCCTTCCTGTTGCAGCTTCCCCAGGGTACACTGGCGGCTGCCCAGAGAGACCCAGTTCTTGTTCCAGCATATTTTTTTCCTCCAGTGAAAGCATTTTGCAGCAGGACACAGCCTGGGAGCAGCCTCTGATTCGCACTGTGCTAGATGATGCACATGAGCAGAAAAACGATGGTATGCAATGTTGTCCTTTTGCTATTGAAAGAGTTTACCAGGAAAAAAGGGAAAAAAAAAAAAAAGAAGAAGATTACCATCTGTGTTTGAGCCACCTAAACCCTGCAAACCACAGAATAAACAGTCTGTGACAGGTCTAATCAGCCTGGGGTCCCAGGAGCACACACCCAGCTCAGCCTACAAAAAGCCCAAAGGTTGATTACAGGTTTAAAGAGCAAACATGCAGAGGTGTGGCTGCTGGGCACTAAGTCCAGGCTGCCCCCCTCCCCCCCCCAGCGAGTGTGCCAGTGAGTCACACCCATAGAATGTTAAGAGTTGGAAGGAACCTTGAAGATTGCCTAGTCCCACCTCTCCCTGCCATGGGCAGAGACACTTCGTACTAGACCAGGTTTCACGGCCTTTTTCAACCTGGCCTTGAACACTGTCAGGGTTGGGGCATCCACAGCCTCCCTGGGCAACCTCTTCCAGTATCTCACCACCCTAACAGTAAAAAAATTCTTCTAGCCTAAATTTACCCTCTTTTAATTTGTACACATTACTCTTCTTGTTCTGTCACTACCATTCCTGACGAGGAGTCCACCTCTGGCTTCCCTGTAGGCCCCCTTCAGATACTGGAATATTGCTGTGAGATCTCTACACAACCTTCTCTTCTCCAGGCCAAACAGCCCCAACTCTCTCAAGCCTGTCTCATAAGGGACTCCCCCACCTTCTCCACTATTCATATCTGTCTTTCCCACGTTCAACCTCCATGGAAAGGAAACAGAATTACAATCACCTTTTTTTTTGCCACTCAATTGGCCCAGTTACAATCATCTTTGTGATTGCAATTTAGGGTAGGTCTGACAGCTAAAAGAAAATGACATTAAAAAGCCCCCTGGGGATGCACAACTCTGCACTCTTCAGCAGATGCTGCAACAACATGTTAGAAATGGGTGTGGGGAGAAATCAGTAGCTCACTGACCGCCTGTGCCAGCCACAGTCACGGGTGCTTTTAGTCAGCAGGCAACAAGCAGCCAGAGGGAAGCCAGAGCATGAACATGGGCCATTTCTCCATGGAGAAGGTTCGGCTCTGCCCAGCTTCTGCTGTGGCGAGAGGTTTGGCTCTGCAAGGCGGCCTCTCGATTGGTTACATGACCTGCTTTTGAAGGGTTCTGGAGGGAAGGTCTGTGCTGTTTGAGGGCTCCCAGTAGCCTCAGGCTTCATCCCCAGGCACTATCACAGACAGGCTAGAGCAGACCATGTTGAATAATACTTGGGTGCATGTGTTTTGCATCAAGCCTGTGAGGGTCAGCTACCTTTTGTGATGGTGGACTGACCAGAAAAACAATCTGCAGCGTAAAAACCCAATATTTACTTGTTTACTGGGGCATAGGTTTCACAAGCCAACAGCAATGAGTGCTGTGCCTAAACTCAGAATCACAGAGTGGTCTGAGTTGGAAGGGACACACATGGATCATCGAGTCCAACTCCTAAATGAAAGGCCGATACAGCAGTCAAATCCCAAACCCTGGCATTATTAGCACCATGCTCCAACCAACTGAGGTAATCTCAGGGTCACAGATGAGAAAGAGAAGTTGCAGGCAGAGGTTAATCAGTTGCTGCAGAGGATGCAAATATTTAAGATTGCAAACTACCTTAAAGGCAGATGCTTTTCCTTATTGGTTGCTAGATATTTAAGAGACATATTTCATTTTTTCTCCTGAATCTTTTTGAAGATATTGTGCTTTCAGATTACTTCCTTATTACATGTGCATGCTGGGCAGTCTACAGCTTGTTAAAAACGAGATTGCAGTACTGTAGTACATCAAAGGACTTAATCAGCACAGTGCCATAGAGAAGTTGAAGACCTAAGGTAGGATAAGTGTAAATCTGTAAAATGGAAATAGCTAAATAATTCAAATCAGTAACATCAATTTCTGTGTGGTTTGTTCATCTTCCGGCCAGACTTGTTTCATAGAGTTGAGGTTTTTATTAAAGGTAGAAGAAGAGGAAGAAAGAAAAAAGTCACAGTCCTACTTCAGAGCTGTTTCAAATCAGTTGTTTTCCCTGATCTTTCCTCTCCAGGCTACGGAGCCTCCTTCAACACTGAGTAACGATCTGGCTGAAGATGGCAGCTGCAAGCATAGTGAGTATACAGCTGTGTTACTGTTCATCACTGTTTTCCTCTCCCCCCTTTTTTCCTCCATCAGTTTTCTGCCTCTTTCAAGCCAGTGGTACCATTCCACTGTAGCAGTAAAACAAAGCCTTCTTCCCCACTTCTTTCCAAGTTGGGCATTTTGCGTTTTGTATGGTATCTGAAGCTGCCAATCCGGCCATGTTTTGAATGATCTGACAGAGAAAATGCTTTCATCACCTACCGTTTTAATAACTGAAGTTGGCTGGAGGTGGTGAACTGCTCTTTTGTAAAGAGTGTGTTACTCAGTGGGTCTTTTATAAGTCTCTGCTGTGCTGAACACTTCAAGCAGTCTGAAACGCAGTGTTTCCCTGGCAGCCTTTGCACTTTCCCATTTAAATTGAATATGTTAGGCATCTTCAAATGCATCTGGTGGAGAGGAGCAAATGCATGTTTTACCGAGCCTCTCAAAACGAATTTACCAGATGTCCTATTGCAGATTCCCCCCCCCGACAAGACCAGCCTGGATTACTACAGGAATGACAGCGCAGTGCTTTTCCTGTGTGGAAACCCAGCGAACAACACAGACTTTATGTGCGACAAGACGCAGGTCAGGCAGTTCTCTCAAGCCTTCCTGCCGGTGTTTTTCTGGCTTATCTTCACTGTGGGCACAGTAGGAAATGCTTTGGTTGTGCTTGTCTATTGCAAATACCACTTCAGGAGAAGTATGATGGATCGGTACCTGCTGCACCTGGCCATTGCAGACCTGCTGCTCCTTTTCACCCTCCCGTTCTGGGCCAAGGCTGCTTCTGGCGGTTGGATCTTCAAGGACTTCATGTGTAAAGTCGTCAACAGCCTGTATAAGATCAACTTCTATGGCTGCAGCTTGCTTCTGACCTGCATCAGCTTTGACAGGTACATCACTATTGTCCAGGCAATGAAAGCTAAAACTTCTAAGCGAAGGTGGCTTCTGCGCAGCAACCTCATGTGCTTGGCCGTCTGGCTGACAGCGCTGGGCATGTGCATCCCAGAAATCATATACAGCCAAACCATGCAGGTGGGTGACATAACAGTTTGCAAAATCACGTACCCACCAAATGTCAGCAGGATCTTCAGAGTTACCGTGCTGGTCTTGAAAGTCACAATTGGATTCTTCTTCCCGCTCCTTGTCATGGTTATTTGTTATGCTCTTATCATCAAGACCCTCCTACAAGCCAAAAGATCCCAAAAACAGAAGTCAGTGAAGATCATCACCATGATCATCACGGCTTTCCTCCTCTCTCAGTTCCCATACAATATTGTTTTGCTGGTCAAAGCCATCAACACCTACACTGGGGCACTGTACAGTTGTCAGGCTGCCAACCGGCTGGACATCGGGCTGCAGGTCAGCCAGGCCATTGCCTTCCTCCACAGCTGCCTCAACCCCTTCCTCTATGTCTTTGCTGGTGAGCGCTTCAGGATGGTGCTGGGCAGGATGGTGCAAAGCAGTGGCTGCTGCCAAAGCAGGGTCCAAAAGCAGTTCTCCCCTGCCTGCGACAGCCAGGAGCACAGCTCAAACTGGTCCTTTACCATGCTGGGGAGGCAGCGGCTGAGGAACTCCCTGATCCTTAGCACTCACTTGACCTCCTCTGTTATGTCCCCGCCTTGCAAAGTCCTCTTGTAAGTTAGTCCTCACTCTCTCCTCTCTAGAGGAACATGAGACTCTTTGGAAGCCATCTGTGTACCCCAAAGACTGTCCCAGAGGAGCAGGAAGGGTTGGCAGCCCTGTCCTTGATGTGTGAGACCCAACTGAGGTTTGCTTGCTGAAAAGATAGGAAACCTTTGGCAAAGAGCAGCAAAGTGGAACCATACTTGCTATAAGCAGAACTGATAGAGGACAAAAGCTATCTTTGTGACAGCTGTAAATAGCTGGCCCATCTGCAGCTCAGACCACAGCCTGAAATAACAAGTCTTACAGGGAGGTGATAAACCCAGTTACAGCAGCAACAGAGGCAGATAAAGCAGGATGAACCACTCCTCCTCCTCATAGGAAGCAGCAGGAGGGAGTTCAGCCTTCATTTGCTGTGATGCCAGGGTCTCCTATGCAGGTGGCCAGACTCCAGTGCCCTGCCAGACTCCTGCACCAGATCCCCTCCCCTGTAAAGGAGAACGGCCTTTAGCTCCAACACTGGTTTGTTGCAGGGGCAAATGCTGCTCTCTGTGCCGGGGCAAATGCAACTCTGTTTGGCTGCTCATGTGGTTCTTATTGCAAAGAAAAGCCAGTCATCTGTGTTCATAAACTGGTCATTGCAGAATCTGACCTGCCTTTCTCCTATAGTTTAGCTGTGTGATGTCAGGTGAAATTTGATACAATTTATGCTATAGCTCCTACTTTGGTACTGGAAACAAATCACACCTCACAGTAAAAATTCAAGGGTATCAGAGACACTGTACTGTCTGTCCCAGGGATATTTTCTGAATGGTGCAAAACTGTAGTAAACCAGAACACAAAAACCAAACCAGTGGTTCAGCTGACTGCCAGTTATGTGCTGGTATCTTTGCTAACAGTGACAAAATATATTTAGACTGGTGCCAGTAAGACAGAGCATTATTAAGTGTCAAACTTCACGACATTTGGAATGAGACTTCAGGTTGGCAGAGGCAGCAGTTCCCAAAATGCTGTGCTGTAATGCACCCCACAACTTCTATAGGACTTTTGGAATGCCTGTGTTGGTGCTGTAACAGTGCCTGAGGCCACAGGACATCGTGTGTCCATTGCGCCTTGCTCACAGGGACGTGGCATTGCCTGTCCTGCCTGACTGCAAGCCTCCACTTCCCAGTCTTCAGTTGCAAGTCATAATGCTCAGGAGGTTTTAAATAATCTCATTTAACCTAGTTTGCCTTCTGGTTAATTATTTCTTCCAGGTAAAAAGTGGTTTCACTGTGCATTTATCATTAAAGAGTGTTGATAAACACAAGCTTTCTGCGTTGTTTGGCACTGCTTTTCTAGTGGATAGGGTACATCTAAGCAGATGGGGTTCTAGTTCTATATGCATTTATTGGACTTTAAAATATTTTTTTAACTTTTCCTTAGGAAATAAAAATTGTCAAAGATGTACATATTTTTTACTGTATGTGCAAGAAGGGTTTTGGGGGTTTTTGCAATCTGTATTCAGCAAACAGAAGCTGAAATTCTGCTAAACAAAGGCACTGTCACATATCCCAAGAGGATGAACTGGTTGTTTCTTGCCCACACATCCTTCTCAGGTTTGGATCCATACACATGACCTGTTTCCGATTTACCCATCTCAAAAAGGCCAAAGGAAAGCTTTGCTAACAGGGTTTACTTCACATATCTAACCCTTGGGGTGCAGCTGAGAACTCCACAGGCACCAGCGGGTTTAAGCTCCTGAGGCGAGGGGTGGGGTGGAGTTTTGGGAGGGAAGGCAGGTTTCTGAGGGCAGGGGAGGAGGGAGCACACTGGGGGAAGATGCTTTCCCATAGCAGCTCTTCCTATGGCTGAGGGTGCTCCTAGTCAGAGGGTCCTCCTGGCTCCAAAAGAGGCCCCGAGTTATGCAAACAAACAAGTGTGCAAACTTTAGGGACTACCAATCTCTGGTCCTGTCTGGGGGCCTCAAGCTCCTCTTCCCTGCATAGCATCTCACCAGCCCCAGGAACTTGAATTTTGTGGCCTTCTCAGAGAAGATAAAAGCTTCTTCACTCCTCAAAATGCCATGGGAAATATTCATGCTTGATCAGCAGGTGAAACTGCTGAGGGTGGTAAAGCGACAACAAAATTGGAGCAGTTTGGGGTGATGGGGTCATCCCTGGGTCATGAACATCCTGCTCTGAGTCAGGCTGCTCCCTGCTGCTTTGCCAGGGCCCAGCCCCTCTGGGGTGGGTTTTCCCTCATTGGGCTTGTTCCACCACGGCTGCCTGCAGTCCAGCAGCTGCTGGTGGCTTCAGAGGCTGTTGGTGCCTCATGTATTTGCAGGGAAGCTGCCTACCTACAGGCTCTCTGGCTTGTAGCCTCGTCACTGGTGGGGTCCCTTGTTGTTGGCCACCACAGAGCAGGGGCTCAGTCATGGAAATGTTTGCTGTCATTACCCCTTCTTCCATCTGCTGGGAGCCTCCATCTGCCAGCAGCATAGCTCCTTGTGGTCAAGCCCTCCTGGGGCTCCTCTGTCCCTCTGCCCTGATGTTTTAGTTGAATTCATCCTACCAAAATCACTCTTATGCCTCACTAGGCTGTCCCCAGCCTTCAGCTGATGCACTTTTCCAGGAGGGGAGTTTTCCGTGAAGGCAAAGGGTATTGCTTCCCCTGCCCCTATCCCTTCACACCTCCTGTGGGACTGCTCATGCCTTACCCACAGCTCTAGCAGGATGGTCACTAAGCACTTGTTGGAAGCCCCAGGAGAGGCCTAAGATCTTCCATGGCTTCGTTCTCCTCTGCTCTCTTTGAGGCCATTTTTTCATAGATGTTCCCAGTTTTGGGCTGTAGTCTCCTCTGCTGTCGCTTTTCTTTAAAGGAGCAGCTTGACTTTGTCTGCCCTAAGTGTTGTCACCCAGAGACCAAGGTGCAGGCAGTCACACGGCACAGCACCACGCTGCTTGTGGTACAGGGAGAGGAAGCTTGGAGAGCCGATAAGAAACTTTCACTCTCCGCAGGCAAACCTGCCTTCCTGATGCCTGCTCCTGCCTGAAACAGACATGCTTTATACAAGTGCCTCTTCCAGAGAGCAGGGAAGTGATGGAACGGTGTGAAAGTACGGCAATTAAAGCTGCAAGCATCACTCAAGTGATGGTAAATAAAGTCAGCCATTGATCTGAGTGCAGTATGTGCAGACCCAAGTATGCTCTGAATCAATTATCCTTTATTTAACTGAACAGATACTGTGGTTCCCAGTGCCTTCGAGTGCTGCCTGATTTTTCCAAGTCTCCTGAGCCATGTTTTTAAACGTTATACTTGGGCTTCAAAGCATCCCTGTGACACTTGAAGGACTAATGCAGAGGGTACTGCTGACTTGTGGCAGCTTCACATGTTCCTCACAGCAAAACAGAAATATAAGGCAGAAGTCGGGCTGGGAGAGCCTTGCCGCTAGTACCAAGGAAGGGAAGTGGTAATCAGTATGGATAAAAATGGATTATTGGAAATGTACACAAAGGTTTTCAATAGCTACAGCCTTCCCTGCAGAGCTGATGTGCAGCAGGGTAAGGTCACTTACACATGTATTGTGTATTTGTAAAACTCAGTCTTGGCAGATCCCTTGTACTCCAGATTAGGCTTTGCTAGAGACCCTGTCCTAGAGAGAAGCTTCTGAGTGTGGAACTGGGACTTTATCACTTCAGCAGTGATAAAGTGACAATGTGCACTACCAGGCAGCAGCATGAATTTCACTCTCTGATGTTTCTGCAGAGCAAGATAACTCTAGACTTAAGCAAAATCAGGAATATTCATAAGACACATGCAGTATCTAAATTCTTCACATAGGCACTGAAAATAAAAGGCTGCTTTGTGTCATCCTCTGGAGATGCTCCTGGAGATGCTCTGAGACTTCTGTTTGTAATTGTAGCTTTGAAATGAGGGATCGCACAATATGAGGATAACCTTGAATTTCATATTTTAATAAACGAATAATAAAAACAAAACTTGAGGAAGATGGGAAGAAGAAGGAAGATTCCACAAACACAGATCAGTCTGAAACACAGACTCATGTCACATATATTCCTGCATAGCAGCCTCCACCCCAGGAGCAAACTCCTGTGAGAAAACAGAAATAGCTGACAAAAGAAGCAATGACTGGTGGTGATGTGGCCTGCTGTCCTCCTGACCCATCTGGATGGCCCCAGCAGCTCGTGTGTTTCCCATGTGTTCCAGGGCTGGGATTACAGATGCACTGAGGTGACACTCAAAGAGTGACTGTGACTCACACAGCACTTCTTGGCCTCTCGCTGCCATGCCACAGAACCCAGGCGTACAGAGCCAGCTAGGACCTGGGGAGAACCAGAAGGGAGCCCTAAGCCAAAGGACCATGTGCTCACTGTCAGGGACAACAGTGACTTTACTTGCTGTCCTTGAGGCTGCTCTGGTTCTACCTCTGAGGACTGGCTCACTTAAGGATCTCCACTGTTCCTCTGTTGTACTGTACAGATGTGGCCTTTCACCACTATTTGTGAAATAGTTGACAATCTATTTTCTATTTTCCTTATTTTGTAAAAGCATTTCCCGCTTAGAAGTAGACCATACAATCATCAGATTTATCTTCCACACAAAGCTATCTCGACAGGGCAGGAAAGGGACATACATTCACAACGATAAAGAATTTTATTTTTTAATTCCTGAGGTTAAAAAAGGGGAAAAAAAAAGCATCAAGAAACATTCCAGTACACAACCGTCTACATCTCTGTAACAGACACTGGTATACATAATTTTTCCCATATCTGGAGTAGGAAGTCTGATGTGAACAGGGTTTGCAATTCTTTGGCAGTTAAGACCAAAAGATGCTTCTGAACAAGTTACAACCTCAGTGATTGAGCATGATTAAAACTATAGTGCAATTTCAATTTTGAGGAAGGAGCAAAGTCAGGCTTTTGTAGCTTTGCTATTTTGTAACATGGTACCTTCTCGTGCAATACATCTCTGTCATTTTTCATTAAGAAACATTGAGTAAGATCGAGTAAAGGAACACTGTCATTTTCTTAAAGAAACTACATTCTTTTCTTCACATAAACCTCTGTATAACAAAAATCTTACCCTCCATACCTCCTAACCCTTTCCAGTACCCAGGAAAATCACCCCATTGCTTATGCTGAACACGGTATATAATCTCTTTGTCCTACGAGTAAGACATCCCCTTCAATTAATTTTATGATCAATTTTAAATATTCCTTTTCTCCTAATTGCATTCCTGCAGGTAATAAAAAGCCCAATTCAACAAATCACCTGAGCACCTGTAAATAAACAGACTTTTCAGCATCACTGGCACAGCTCACACAAACAAGTGCCTTATGAACGGAGGTATAAGGTGCTTGAATGAAATAATCTCTTGCACAAACCTGCACTTGTGCAAAGTCCTTTATTGGGTTTCCATAGCTCCAGTAATAAACTGCCAGTGGCATTCAAACAAAAGGTCAGTACTAATGTCAGGTTCTTTACTATCTTCTCTGCACAGCCTCTTCTAGCTGGTATGATGGGATTCTTGTTGTTGACCAGCTGGTTTTGAACAGCTGCACTCTTTACCTGTACCTGTACTTTAGCACTCCTGTACCTTAGCATCCTGAGTATTTCATCATTTGAAACTTTTTCTCCTTAAATACTCTCCTTGGTTAGGAGCAAACCTTTTGATCTTTAAACTACAGTTTCTGGCTTCCATTCTTAGTCCTCTTTCAGAGAGGAGAAAAAAAAGCCATAAAACTATTCTCAAGGGGCAGGAAAACCCGAAGAAAAGGTACCATAAAGACTCAAATGCTAAATGAAAACAATCAAGTGGTTTTATTCCCCTCCTTCCAAACATATGCTTTAGCCAGTCTCAGGACTGTCAACATGAAAGACCTTCAGGGAAACATCTAGCTTACTAGATGGAGACAATTACTTTAAGAGTTACATAAACAGTGGCTTAAAAATATTTGCCACAGTATGAAAAAATGTTAAGAACTGGATGTGGAGAGGAAATGAAGATAATTTTTTCAATATTTTTCAAATAATTTTGAATAGAGAGACTTCAAATACTTTTGAACAGAGATGTCATATTTTGGCCCAAGCTACTGGACAGTGTCCCTTTACCTTACATTTGGCATTTTAAGAAAAATATCCCAGTAAGATTAGTATTCTACCTAAGAACAGCAAAATGCTTTTAAAAACCACACCTAAAAGCTTAAAGAAAAACTGCAGCAGACTTCAGTAACAGCTCAGTGAAACTGCATAGCATATGGTACACAGTGCTCCATTTTTAAGCAATAAATAATCTCTTCTTGCCTAATTAAATATAAAACATAGCTTCAACACTGAAATCTGCCATAATCCTGAACCGATCTGTGTGCCATTTATGGCCTGTTTATTGCCCATGTCCATCTCTTGTCCATCTCATTTTCATGCACACAGCCAGGTATGGGTTTAATTGCACTGTAGACCTCAGGAGGAGGAATAAATCTGCTTGTACTTTGCACTGACCCCTCTGCCTGGCAGAGGCTGGGGAGCACACCACTGGTATGGGCAAGAAGGCAGCTGAAGGGAGGGAAACACTATCCATTAACCAGACACCTAAAATCTAGGTGCTCCATGAAAAGTTGTTATTCTTTCACAGTCTTTTTCAAGATCACTGCATTTATATATCGTTAACAACTGGAACAAATGATAAGCAACGTTTAGCTTTATCTGCAATTCTTTTCTTTCCTATGATCATAAATTTCCCTCTTACCTCAGGTGCTACTATGTAAATGTCCAACACTTGTTTGTGATCGCCATCTTTTGAACAACCAACCAGTCTTTTGATGTCGGAAATCCCTTGTGGGTAATGGATTGGATTAGCAACACATAAACACCAGCTGGACTCCCCTGACTTTCTTCCCTAGTCAAGCTGATCCTTCCAATTCCCTGCCCTTGCTTTTACATTTACAAGTTTGCCTCCTTACCCTCCCCTAAACCATTTGCTTCAGCTTGTGCTTGCCTCTTTTTCTTCTTTCCCCTTATGTTTTACTTTCTGTCTCTTACAATGACTCCTGTATATCAGCTACAGCTGCCACCAGGTCTCTACAGGGTTCCTGACAGGCTGTGCTGGTCTTCTACCAACTGTTGCACTAAAACCTTCCAGGTCTGAGGTTTCCTTGGGAGAACAATGACATGAGAAATCAGACACACCTAAAATGATGAGGAGGGCTGGTTGGGAGAAAGAGCTTTTCTCCTTTATCCTGCCAAATGTTTTGCCATTCCATCAGAGGACAGGATTTTAAAACAAAAAAATCTGCTTTCATATATTTTGACAAAAGGATAAAATTCTATATAGAAAGCAGATGGTTTGCGTAGAAATTCTGTATAAATCAGAACCCAGTCTTCCCTTAAGAGGAAGTGTTTACAGCCAGCTCTTTCTCCAGATCCAAGATGAAAAGTTAGCAGTTGGATATGGCAACTGCAAGGTTTAGGAAAGGGAGAGAATACACTAACACTGGGTGGAGAGCTCCTCAGGCCTGGATATTCATTCAGTTTGGATGGACGTTTTGAGACCGGTTCAAACATTACTGCTGCCTTCCACGTGGTCTAGAGAGAGAGAGACACTGCTCATGTCCTCAGAAACTGTGCTTTCCTATGACTGCTGATGACTAAGGTGCTAAGGCAGGAAAAAGGAATTTTCTTCCTCCTAATATCACACAGTGAGCAGTACTTTACAGAGGATGCTCCTTGTTCTGCCACTGGTACTGTACGAATGGACCAACGTACAGAGTACGGTGAGCGAAAGTGAAAGGAGTTGCTGCTTCATGTTGCATTGTTTTGTAACTGGTAGTGATAAAACATTTGTAAAAGCCAGTTAAGGCTTACCAAATCTTAGCCCAGAATTTAAAAAACTCCTATGTTTTCTGTTTATAAAACTTGGAAAAGATAAAAAATTCTAGATGGATTACAATATAGGCCTGTGAAGATTGAAATATTGCATAATTGTTGTTCTGACTGTAAGAGTAGCAGAACAGAAATGGTTATGTTTACTCCTCAGTGAAGAGGTCAAAAATACACTTTTTTCTTTAAATTTCCTTTTGAAGGATATTTTTTGGAAGAAAAATAATGCGATAATTCAGCAGAGAATTTCAATTTGCATTTAGACACCCACACACTTATTTTTCTCCCCACAAAAAAATTGGTTATTATTGACCTGTTAAATCAAACATTGGCTTTTCAGCAATCTGTACATAGTACAGAACCATTAGTGTTCCTGAAAAGGCTTCCATTTTTTAGTGTATCCATCTCTTCTTAAGTGCATTATAACTATTGCATAGTTTCAGAGTCTTCAAACACAGTGGTAATCAGTCTGCTTACATGTACATAAATAATATAATTTCTTAAAAATTTAATTAAAAATAACACAGTATAGTCAAGGCTATGGAAAATCACTTCCATCATAGATGACGGGTCGCTCAACAGCCAAGTGATAAAACACTCTTTTTGAGATAAACCTGTCAAGGAAGAAGAGAGAGCAAAAAGATCATGTCAGCTGAAGTCAACTAAGCAATAAGCCTTAAAAGTGTATTCAGTCTTTCACTTTATATGTAAGTAAAAAATTGACTGTTGTCAAAAGAAAGTCTGCCTGTGCAAGGGCTGTTAAGCTTCCTGTTAATAAAATGATAATCCTGACCAAACTGTCTTGCTTACTTCTGTTTACCTTCCCAGAGGTGGAAACAGAAGAGTGAAATTCTGTTCTGGGGAGAGAAAAACCCAAACAAGAACAAGAACCAAAACTCGACCTTGAAGATCTCTTAGCCAATTTCTCATACTTACTTCTGAATGGAAGAATAATGATACATCTGATCAGTTCCACAGTCTCTAAAACTAAGCTTATTTCACCTTTTACACCCAGCTAGGACTTACCTAGAGAATGTATTGTCAAATATCAGTGTGTAGATTCCAGGGTTTCTGACTTTCACCTGTCCTCTGATAGTTTCCTTATGAGAGTTGCAGCGAGTCATAGGGATAAGAACCTGGAATTCAATACAAATCAAAATGAAGCTTGCTATTTGCCCTATAAATTGACATTTGCCTTCAGAAACGTATTTAGACTTCAGCCATCTTGAAACTCCCAAAGTGCATATATGCCTGCAAAACTAATTATTTTAACTGATGAGCATTAAAACCTCACCCAAGCTAAAATCTCACACTGAGATACCTGTTTTCCTCTGATAATCTCTTTACAGCAATAACCTATAAATCTCTGCTTTAGAGACAGAATCAAATTCTGATCTTTTAAATGTTAATCTAAGCAACTTTACTAACACTGCCTTAAATCCATATATCGAAGAGCAAGATTTAGCTAAATGTGTCTTTTAATATATGCTTTTATACTCCCTGTATTATAAAATAAGCTTTCTCAGCAAATCTTAATTGTTTATCTGAGCTTACAGCAAAAGCATGTGTATCTATGACTCTATGTGTCTTGCTGTAAAACCCTAGCACAGTTGTCAGAAGAGCAGCTGACATAGATCAAGAATGACCCCATAAAACTCAGAAGTTATATCAAATAAATGTATCAAGACAAAAGCAACATTCACACTTCATTCGTCTTTCAGATTAAGAGATATTTTACATGGAGTTGGAAGCCATGGAGTGAATTAACACACGCTATATAAATGTCTTATTCCCCTAGTAAATCACAGCTGTAGAGTTCCCTCTACCATGGTGGATTAAACCAACAGCTGCCTTGTCCTTAGTAAAACTTTGCAATTACTTGAGTAAAATAGATTCGCTTAATCCATAATCCTCATGAAATATGGACAGCACATATAAAAACTGGTATCTTGGTCACTGGCAAAGCAATTTTGAACACCATCAAGCTTATGCTTCATTGTAAGAAATGTAGATAACTCAAGCAATTTATGTTTTCTTGTGGCTTCTGCTCAAGACCTGGCAAATTTGCCCTAAAGGGCTTGAAATTAAGTAAGTTTGAAAAAGGGGGAAAAAAGAAGAATTTTGCAGGCTTGGAACTTTTGGTTTTGTTTAATAATAGTGGGTGAATTTCAGATGCAACCAGTAAAGCTACAGTGCTTTTCAACTGAACTTTTGCAGGCGACATTAAATAACTACAGATGTAGCCCTGCCTTTAGCAGAACTGCAGCTTAACTGGAGAAACAAATCCTTAATGCAATAGCAACTGACATTTTGGTGAGACCTCCTAGTGATACTTGCTGATTCCTTTAGGCAGCCGACTGTAGAGTACTACAGTCTCTAAGGTAGTAAGGAAACAAAGGTCTTACTTTGCACTGATCCAGTGGTGTGTCTTCAGATTCTTGGTAGACAACGCTGAAGGATATGCTTTTGGGGTCTGATGAAAAGATCCAGCTAATTGTTAGCCCCATCTCTGTAACAGTGATGGGAATGATACTGTAGGTGCTGGATTTAATGAACAGCTCTTTGTTGCTTTCTCCAAAGTTTATGATCTCTTCCACTGTAAGGGGTAATTTGATCCTGTGAGTGAGAAAAATATAATTACTTGAAGAGATCCAATCCACTTACTCAGACAAACCCACTAATCACTGCTTTTTATTTTGCATCTATTTGGGGTAGACTCCACAGCATATTTAGGACAGGTCCACAAAATGCATGAAAATTCAGCCTTAGAGGAAGGCAAAAACTACAGAAAAGCTGACTGATAGTAAGAACTTTCACTGCTCTGGCAAATGTGGATTTTGTTCACTTATTTATTTCATTTCAGCTAGAGAAAACCAGTGCTGGAGTAAAGCCTTTTAGAGTCACTACAATTAAAAAAGCATCTGCTGCCCTCTACTGTTCTTTTTAAACACAAATTTAAACAAAAAATAAGTTACCTAATTTATTCATCTTTCTCGGTATCATTTGTACAGGAAATGGGGATCAGGAGTACAGAGGGGATGGATGGATGAAATGTGAACAGCAGATCCTTCTAGATCCTCTGAAGCACTTAATGCTACATCTTGGTCTATTTTACTCAAACAAGCTGTAAAAAGCTGCCTCAAAATACTTCCAATTAAAAAGGAAGTTCTTAGCACCTAGATGAAGCATTATCTTGGTGCTAAAGTCCTAAAGCCTTATATGAGCTGACCTCATTCAGATATCTATTTCAGACTGCAAACAGGTCCAACTAGCAGTGCACTCCCCAACTCGTCCCTGCAGTCTCTTTCAGCGACTGCTAGAACTGCACAGCCCTCTAAGCCCCCTTCCTGTTGACCTCCTTCTAAGAATAGAAAGGAAGATTTTCTGGTGTGATGTGCACCTACATCTTTCCTTCTTGTTTCCCACTTGCACTAAAGTTTTGTAGGACTGAAGAGGGAGGACCTGGCTTATTGCTGCTGCTCTGTGTAGTTGAGTTACACTCTCTCATCCTCCTCAGATCAAATTCTACTGCAGGACACAAGGGATCAGCTCTTCCAGGAGCCTGCAAGACTTGTGCTCACATAGCTGATATCTGATCTCAAGCCTTTATTCTTTCAACCTGGAGGTAATGAAACTGTTCTGCTTACATGATTTCTCCTGACTTCAACAAGCATATCTCAGCATCTTGAGCAAGTTGCCACTCTTCAGATTCATCAAAGGTTGAAGAATTACATGTACTGTTTCTAGAACAAGGGAAAAAAAGGAAAATCATGATTACCTGAGTAGTATGTGGTCAAATACCATCTGCATGCTGATTCCTTCCTAAAATAGAAACACTTTGATAGTTCTAATACCAAATTCTAGGGTTCTTATTTTGTACATTCTAGCGACAAAACTGCCTGGGCAAAACTGCAGCCCTGTTTGCTCACCACTGGGCACGAACATAAAACTGTTCCTATCCTGGTTTCATGAGCTAAGAAGAATACATAAGTACATCCAAAACATCTCTTCTGCAATCGTAAGACAATACTGAGATGCTGTCAGGTTTTAAAGATTCCCTGGCAGGTGGAAACTTCATGGAGGCCAGACACAAACAAAACAGTCTGCACTTGTCCCTTAATCAAAGCTGGCAAACGGATAAGACATTTCCCTGGATTTAATCTGTGAGGTGTTTGAGCATATTATCCAGTTCCTTACTCTGACAACTGTACACAAAACATATTTTATCACTGTAGAATCACTACTGTGTGTCTTCTTTTCATACAAGGAATACGAGATGACAAAGCAGGACCTCTCCTCCACAGCATGATGTGTCCAGAAGAGCAGAGGAAGAGGATGGAAGAACCTGCTAATCACTCCTTACCCCCAAAAGGGTGTATGCTCTGGGTGAACAATGGAGTAGCATCAGTTAAAAATTACAGGGCTGGACACAAGGGAGTAGGACGAGTTTGAGAGTCAGTAAACAAATGCTGATAGTTTCCAAGTAAGTTAGAGCTTCTCTAACTATTTCTTGTTTTGCTTCTCAGCATTTCAGCAGGTTGGTAACTGAGACAATAAGACTGTCATTGCCAGAAAAAATGCCAAGGATTCTTATATACAGGAAACCAACTGGTCAGTTCCTTCCAAAAACCAGTGGAATCTAATAAAATGTAATACCATATGCACTTCTGAACCACCAAGTGTAATCATGCCCCAAAAGGGCATAATTGCCATACTTGCTGTAGAGCAATTCTCAAAAGCACTGCACAGTTTAGCATTTTCTTTTAAATCCAATGGGACATTTCTCCACAAGAGCAGGAGAAAATATCTCCAGGTAACAACTCCTTCAGCTTGTCACTAGCAGCATCTGAATATACTGTGGCAGCACATGCAACCAGGTTTAAGTCTAGTGTAGTGGTATTATTGGAAACATGAAGAATTTACTTTTATGACTGCAATATGCAGCAAATGAATGCAGCAAAAAAAAAGCTGCACCCACTGTCTACATATTTCCTGAAGTCAAAGCACTGTTACCTGCAGAATTCATGTTCTGTTATTCCTGTTTTCTTATTCCTGTAGCCACTTGGATAACTTTTGACTTCTTCAGATTCATGCCACTACTGTTTATACCCTAAAGAGACAGTTGGGATATGTACAGAACACTCACAGCTGTAATTAAGTGCCAGAACTTGAGCTATAATCAAACACTACCTCCCAGTTGAAATGTAGAAATGACATACTAAAAGCTGGCCCATAAAGGTTAATGCAACATCTATGAAAATACTTAGCAAGTGATAAAAATAATTTCATTGTTAAATATCTTTATACAACTAGATAAGAAAACTGATTCTGGAAACAAAAAAAACCCCAACACCTAGAAAACTAAACTGTAGTTTGTAAACCTATATGTTAACCACTTGCATAGTGGTTAACAGCAACAGATTTCATGCTGTGATCCATATAAGTCTCCCTTCCCACCATGATAGCTACACAGCTTTAATTTCACAGTCTTGAATTAATGTAGACAAAGAGAACATGACTACAGGCTTCCAGAAGTGTCAAACTCCATGATTTATTACAAAATACCATTAGAGTTCATTATTTAAGTCATTAATTTCACCTTTTGTTTGGAACTCTGAAATGTAAATTAAATCCCAGGACCAATATATTTTCCATGTTCTCCTCTAACATGTGATTTTCCTTATTCCTGCTGCTGCAACCCAGTACATGGTTAGGTGGTTAGCTTTCCACCTGGCTGCTCCAATAAATAAATTCACCACACATCTACTCACTATAGGCTAAGGAAATGCTAAGTCTCTCACTCTGTATATTAAACCAAAGTGCATTATAATCACAAAGCAAATCCTCCTTCTCTTTATAATATCCCATTCAGTCCAACAGTCTAAACTGAGGTCTGCTAGCCTATGTGGAAAATATAAGAAACAGTCTCAGGATTTAACTGAAGCTCTTGTCCCCCTGACCAGAGAATTTATTCTTGCATGACCTATTCACCTTATGTGGCAGCATTAAGATGTTCCTCCAGTTTGCCAGCTTATGAGTACGTATCCTCTATCTATTTAAACAGTCTGGACTTTTTTCTTCTCTTTTTTTTTTTTTTTTAAGTGAAATGAAGTGGGGATGAAAAGCAGGAAGAACTGAAGCATGGAAAAGACACTACAGGAGGAAGAGAACAGCTCTGATTCAGCAAATCCTCAAGACACAGGTTGTCACAGGCTGGTGGAGCATTTTGAAGTATCACTTCATGCCTGTCCTGTTCTTATGCTCTTCCTCAGGCACCTGGTGTTGGTCACTGTCCCTCAGTGGATGGTCTTGACCAGTATGCCTGTTCTTATACATGGAAAGCATTTCTAACAAATGATACTAAAAATGCTGTGATCAACATCATAAGTGGCTTTGAGAGTTAGAAGTCCCTTTCAGAATTAAATCCTGAAGGAAGCTGGTTCAACTCTGCACTTGGCAATTTTCTGCTTTCATAAACACCTGAGCTCTGACAGCTATAGCTATGTGTCTGAGGTGTTGGTTTCACATGGCTAAGCAGTGAAATCCCAAAAGCCATCTGCCTGTCAGCAGCGCAGTAATTTCTGGAGAGAACTTCAGGCATCCAGGGTGAGAATCTTACCGAATTCTGTGAAAGCCAGAAACCTGAAACGGAGAGTGGAGGCTGTACAGAGCCCCTAACAGCTGCTTAGCCCAGCAAACACATCTGAAAATGCAAAGAAACAATCAAAGGCATTATGCTGAAGTGCACCAATAATTCCCTGGGCCTGCTGTTATCTAGCAGGTCAGAACCACCCCTAACACCCCCTAAGCACCCTAACTTAGTTATTAGCCTTCCCCTCCAGCCCAACAAAGAACAAGAAAAAGAAAGAAGACGGTGAAGGATCGGAAGAAAGGATGCCACAGACTGCCCTTGACAAGGGCAGGAAAAGAGGCTGATTTGGGGTGGAGCATGGGGGATACAGAGCTCACTGTTTTTAACAGGGTGCATGACAGTGTCTTGCATGGTGTATGGGTGGGAAAGGGATGGGAAGGTTATGAGCAAACCCTGACATATGTTGGGATGGGAAAGCATCATGGAGATAATTGATGGGAAAAAACGATGGATGGACGTGAAGATCTACCACCATGTGCTGTGGGTGACCTGCTTATTGGTACATAGGAAATCCCATCTATTTCTCAAAAAAAACCTCTGTATGATTTAACTACGCCATATCCTGTATGAAAAAGAAAAAAACAAACAACAAACAAACCAACAAAAGAAGCAATAATACAAGAGGATTCTCCTGACTTAAAATTGGTATTAAAATTGGTTACATTCTATCTGTAAGACCAGAGACAATACAGAGAAAGCAAGCTAGGGAAACAATCACGACAAAGGAATATTTCCATGCTTCAAGGGACAACATGCAAAATCTTATGATGGTTCTTTTTTCAGTATTGTGATAAGGAAGAGGTTTGGCAAAGGCTCTGAGATGCAGACAGCTTTCAAATGCTCATTTGCAAAAGGTATAGAATAAGTGATTAGGGATTACCAGGGTACTTTCACGTCCCCTCCCCAGCAGGAGGCAGCAAACAGATGACTATGAGAATCAACACTACAAACACTGGCAAGCTGCTGCCCAAATATCCCAAATACTGCACAGTCTGTAGATCACCAAGGCTACAGCCACCTCTGTGGGTAACACTAGCTTAGATTTTTTTCTTTGCACAGTTCTTTAGAGGTTATTACAAGGAAGCTGAGGCAGAATTATAGGAGAGGTATAGCAGAGGCTGTTTCTGGCATGTGTTTAGATCACTATCCACCAGGATCCCAGGCCCTTTCAGCAGAGCTGCTCCCTAGCCCTCTATGCCCAGCCTGTACCTCCACAGAGGCTGCTCCATCCCAGAGCCTGCAGGTTCCCTGCAGCCGAGGTGGTTTCTGCACACAGGGAGCTTCATAGCTATACAATTAAATGTTTTCAGACTGACCTGTACAGAAGTAACAGCTAATCTCTCAGCCCACTACCTGAGGTGAACTCACACAGCCCACCTCTGTTTTTACCATTCCTATGCCAGAGAGGGCTTCTTTGAGCAGTCCATCAAAAAGATATTATATGGAAACACAGATTATGAAACAAAGGAGGAAACAGGTCAAATTACAGGTAGGTTAGCAAGCAGAAATGAAGTATGTATGAGTTTCTTTTGATCCCGAATGCAGGACTAAGGGTTGAATACTGCTGATACTGCAGTCATCTTCGGTAAAGAGTTTGTTAAAAGTTACAGAATTGATCCCAAGATTTATTGTGTACGGATAAGGGCAAATGGATGTTGGGAGGAAGAGTAGTGATATCCATGGGAAGGCCATCCCTGCCCATACAGTCTGAGAAAGAAGCATCTCTGGTGACTTGAGGTCACTGCGAACTAGGGTGACCAGAGTAGCTTAGATGAGCTCTCCATAAATGCATGATTAAGACACTTCACAAGTGACATTTTCTGGGTTTAAGGAGTTTAAATGGGCCTCATTGTTAGAAAGGGCCAATCACTGGCCCTCTGCAGTACAGTGAGAACTTTTATCTTTTCTCAAGGCAGACATTCACACTGCTTTAGGGTACAGATGCTACCACATAGCTTAGCCACTGCTGTATCATCCTCATACTCTGTTCTGCATCTGAAAATAACTGATAAAAGCAGGTGGTTTTCACAACCCATTGCTACTCTATTTGACAGGAGCAGTTTGTGAATATTTAGCACCTTGCTCAAGTTTCTTTCTCAGAGGCAGAGAAACTGCTACCACATGCAATGAAGCACAAGGAACAACTCAATTTTAAAGGGCATCACAGAGCTTTGTGTCAGTAGTCTTACTTTAGTAAATATGCTGCAGGATTAAGTCAAACTTGGAGTTGTTTGGGTTTTTTTATATACACATCCACAGGTTCCAAACTCAAGTACTCAGAGGTACAAGCACACTGCTCTAAAAGTCAGAGTCCCAGAAGCACTCCAGCAATGGTACCACAGGCTGCTATGAAGATCTAACTGCATGGGTTGCTTTCTCTGAATACTGTTTCCCTCCCTTGCAGAATCAAGAGACATTCAAACTGCTGTATGTTACAACACACCAGTTAAGGCCTTTCAGCCAATGTTAATGATTCAGAGGTGAATTCTGCTAATCTTATGCTGAGAAATATCTTGTAGTAGGATTAGTCTCACAGAAACATTCTCTGTAGCTCAAGAGAGAGGACATTTAACTTTTGGACTAAATCTTTAAAAACCCGTCTTATGAAAGATTTAATTTACCAGGTAAACAACTTGTAAAGATGGCTGTTAGAAATACATTAATGAAAATCCTCCATGTTTCCAGTAAGTCACTTGAGAAGGGGAAAGGAAGAAGTGCCACCATCTGATGATGTGACTAACATCTAAAAAACAAGATGAGGCTGAACTGAACCACAGGTGCTCACTTGCTGAGACTCAAACCATGCCTTTCAGGACAGGTCCAACCCAAGACAAATGACTCTGGCACTCAGAGCCTGCAACCTGAGCCCAAAGGCTAGATTTGGCAAAATGAATTCTGTTTCTCTCATGGGTTTCCCCAGAAGACCTCAATTCAAACACTTAAGCACTGATGTATTTGAAAGCTTAATCCTTACACTATTTTCAGAAGCTTCTTTGTAATTGTCTTTTGAGTATGCTTTTGAGTCCCTAACAGTATAAATCTGGTAACAGATGATGTATTCAAATCCACCAGCTGTTGTGTTTGGGTCTTGACTGTCAAGCCAATCCTCTTAAGCAAATAAATAGATTTGCTTTTGTCTGTCATGTATGCTTTATTACAACTCTTATCTGTTAGCACTTCGGATTTTTCCTGTCTCCTGGATGCATTAGGATTTAATTATTTGCTCAGTAAAAAAAACCTCAATGTATCTCCTTACAGGCTGCCTTTAAAAAGAAGGCAACGTGGCAACTACAGAGGCTGCTAACTTTTATTATAACTTCTCCATCACTGATCTCAATGAAAACAGAAGTGAGAATTTTCATATTTACAAGAGTCTTCCTGCTCTGTATGTATTCAGTTGTTTTCATCCTTGGCCCAGCAGAAAATGCACTGGTCTTTGCCATACTAGTTTTCCATGTGAAACTGAATATGCTGACAGACATGTTTTTGGTGAACTTGGCTATAGCTGACAGGTCTTCCTTTGGATGCTGCCACTGTAGGGATATTCTGTTGCTCAGGAGTGGACTTTAGGCACCATGGCATGTTGTATTATATGAAGCTTGTATACACTTCAATGTTAACTCTAATGTCTATCACCTCTGACTGACTTATTGCTATCACTTTTGCCACCAAAATACGTATGTGTCAAACCAAACAACAAATGACATGGGGCAAATTAATCTGTGTCTTGATCTCAGCGATCACGCCAGCATTTGCCACACCATACTTTTTAGTGAGGTGTTTAATATTGATAAGGCATTATGTCAGGAAGAATAGCCAAACCATCACACAGAATTGGCTCTTGAAGTGATCCAAGTGACTCTTGCATATTGTATTCCTATGCTAGCCATGATCATTGGCTACTCACTAATTATTAGAACTTCACTGCATGTCAGAATTCTTCAAAAGAACAAATCTATAAAAAATATTTTCTATAGTTGTCCCGTTTATCCCCTCTCAGTTACCCTATACTTTCTTGAGACTGATAATTAACATAGACTGGAGTTTTAACTTGAATAGCAGTTTTGAATATGCAATTATCATAACAGGAACTCTTGCTTATTTCCATGGCTGTCTTAACCCTGTTCTGCATTTCTTCATGGGGATGAAAATCAGAAGGTACTTACAGGAAATTATTAAAATCTCAAGATGTATCAAACAACAAGTTATGGCTAAACAGTGGCAAACCCCTGAACAGGAAGACTCTCAACCTACTGCTTCAAATAATGCAGATGCCAAAAGCTACAAAAACTGCCTAGAAAATCTGTCAACTATCTCACTGTTTCTGTTTCACATTGTTTTTTTGTAAATGCTGAGATGGGTAGCCTGAGTGAAAGAGGAAATACAATGCCATTAATAAACACTGTGATCAACTTTAGACCAACCTGTCTTAATCATGATACTTCAGTGTCTCCTGCTTTTCCAGCCAAAGCTGGTACCTGAGTTAGCTATGCAGAGCCCACGCTTCATGACATAAAGCTAACTTGAATTTCCTGACTCATAAACCTCTGGAGTTTGGCATGCTGGTTTTCCATGAATAGTATTTGTTAATAAAAACTTTTATGAGTTTTGTTTCAAATATATCACATATTTTAGTTCAGCCTTTCATTTCTCATTTCATGAGAATTCCTGGATTAAAAACATATACATTTCAATCTTCATGCTGGGTTTCCTGTGTGATTGGGTTTTTTTGGGTGGGTTTTTTTTTCCCATTTGGGAGTTCTCTACACATAATCCTTTAGTATTAGTCTAAAATTTCTGTAATAAAGCAGCATTTTCATCTGCCTTTCATCTACTATCAAGTTCATGGTCTGAACGTCCCCTACACATCTTTGTATCTTACTTCTGATAACAGAGCTCAGGGTGCCAGTTGACCAGACCCCTGGTAAACAGAAGGGACATCATGTCACATGTGGTCTCCAACACTAAGCACTGCTTCCCTAGATCCAAACTCTCACATCCCCACTCCCACACATTTTTCTGACATCTTTCCAGTCTGTTTCTCCTGGCATCCCGGTTCCCTTGCCATGAAACTGTGGACTCCTTAGTTGTTTTCCAACCTTGCTCCTCCACTCCTCCCTTTCAACCTCTGGCCTTTTCACTTCCCAGTGGGAGGCAAAAAGGTCTGCAGGGAGCAGGGCAGATTGGGACCGAAAGTATGTAAAAGCTCTTGCAGAGAGTAGGAGAACAGGCTGGAGAACAGACTGGAATAGGAAAAAGAAGGGATGTTGGAGAGGAGCAGGAGGCTTTATGCAGCTGTGATGAAGGCAGGGTTGGGTGTGGCCCAAAGGTTGAAAGTCCTTTGCATTACAGCTTTAAAATACCAGTTTAAACTGTTTCAAACCATTTTTTAAATAATCACACTCACTCTGGATGTTCCTTTTCTCCCCATTAAGTCTCAGTCCTTCTTATCAGAGCAGTGCAGCTCAGTGGTACCTGACCTATTGTGTCCATGTCCCTTTTCCCCCTTAGAAAACAGCTGCTTAGGTAATCCTTTCCTTACTACACAATCTCTCGTTCCTCCCACAGTGAAATATCCTTAAGTAAAACCAGGAAGGAACATATTGTGCTTTTACATGTGTATGGCAAGTAAAACTGCTATCCCCATAGACAGCAAGGCAGGCTTTGCCAGCAAGAGGATGGCAAGAGGTTCTGCCCCCACTCCTTCCTGGCTGGTTCTGCACAGTGAATGCTTTGCCACATTCAGTTCCCCCTTTTGGCTACACTGGCACTTGGCCATGTTAGTAGTAATTAGGTTAGGAAAGAGTGTTATGAGCCTTTTTTAAGAAAAAAAAGAATGCAAACCAAAGCAACCACAGTGCAGATAGGCTGAGATGTTCTTTCTACCACTACCAAGGTGTGAATAAACTCTTTGTTTCTGTACCAGGGTGGTGGCAAGGGGGTTTTTTGTTGTTTTGTTTTTTTTTTATTATTATTCTGCTGTCTATGATCTTGGTTCTGCTGCTGCAACATGTATAGCAGGCATGTAATGTCTGTGATATGTAAAAATGGAAACACAGTGCACTGGTTTACCCTGAGGATTTTGATCCAGTGCTATACACTATCCTGACCTCTGTTTTAGAACACAATCTGCAAATGTGAATGCTTTAGAAATAAGAGTTTAAAAATACAACACTTCAAAAGAAAACCCATGAGCCTTGAAGTAGCAGGATCTACCACAATTACACAACTTAGCTTCTCACATTAAGATTTTTATCAGGTTGCTCCAAACACACATAACAGACTTGAAAGAATGAAGCAACTGCTGCTTAATCCTAACCTGTAGGAAAGAGTTGCTTCAAAGTCAGCCAGAGTTATGCTGGTACATCAACTATCTTATCACACATCTGTGCAGTTCATGACCAAGTTGAGTTTTAATTGATTCTCAACTGACCTATACTAGTAAAGGCAGACTCTCAAAATTTGCTGTTATGAAATATTTTTGTTGTAATTGCTTCGTGTCACTTCAAGGAAAGAACTACAGTGGCAGGCTAGGTGAAGAAAACAAGTGAAAAATAGAGTAACAGTACAATAGGCACTAAAAGGATGACAAATAGAAACAGGAATGTCCTTTAAGATAATTCACTTCTTTGAGCAGAAGCTCGCATTGCCAATCCAGAAAGGACTCACACCTAGAATAGATATGGTCAGTGTGACTGCCAGTCAGCCAGAGTAAGGTCATAAGAAACTATGTCAACAGAGCATGTGTATCACAGATCTTCTATTTGGACACCAAGCTTCCCTTCTCTTCCCTCTCTTGGCTGCTTATCTCCCTCATTTATAGAGCCGCACCAATTAGTTCACATCTCTGGCAAAACCCAACTAGACTGGATTATTTTCAGGAGATCTCAACAAAGAAGTCTGGCCTGAAAACTTACTTATTTGTATGTATTTCTCAGACCTGCATCTAGCAAGCACAATATTGGATCCTTCATGTCTTCCCCAGGCACAATATCAAAGTAAATTCTGCTCAAAGTATTCAATTTCATGCAAGGAGAACATTATTGGAATGCCAGTGGAGACTATCGAAAGTTTCCATCAGGCCACATTTAGCTGGACACTTTCAAAAAACAATAAAAGGACTAGAGGTCTATATGAAGTTCAGGGTGTTCAGTCCAGTACAGCCAAGAAATCTGCAGCAAAGAAATTCAGAAAGTAACCGAACTGCAGATCCTTGAAATGTGGGAAATTTTCAGTACATCTGCCATGGGCTGCTATCAAAGACAGAACAGAGGGTTAGCAGAATCTTTGCTTGTTCTCAGTATAGTGCCTCTGGTACATTTACTCTCAAACCCCCAAAGCATCTTGTGCTGCATTATCTGCTCATCTGCTAAGCGACACTCAAGCTTCAGGTACACATACACTCCTCGCCACAGAAACAAGTGAGAAAACTCTGCTGTCACAATCAACACTGTGCTCTGTTTTTTTCCTCTCAACACAGACCACCGGCACCAGACCATCACTTGACTCATTTATCAGTTTCTAGATCTCTCCCATAACACAAAACCACACAATCAACATGAGATGATCAAGTCATCTGCGATGTAAGAAGGCCGTTCTCGCTCCAAGTATGACCATAGTAGACTCTCCCACCTGCTCAGGAAACTGATAACCAAGAGCAGCAGAGATAAAACACTACTTCCTGGCTCTCCTGCCTATAATATGTGAACAAGGGGAGATGGACAACATGCAAAAGTTTACATGGTGTAAGCAGGTTGTTGCATGGGCACTCTTCAAGAATAGTGTTCCACTGTTAGTGGCAATCCTTCCTTCTAGCTTGAATACTTTGTGGGACAAGACAAATCTAGATCAATCCCAAACTGAAACAAATGGTGACCCACACTTATTTCTTCTGGTTGTTTTCTCCAGAGCTCATTCAACTGTGATATACCCTCTGCAGACAGCACAAATTCAAATTAGTAGTACATTACACTTTTTCCTTTATAAAACAAACAAACATACAAAAACGCACCACCACAAACTGCCCCTTTGCAAAACAATTCGCAAGAGCATTGTGGAGCTCAGTTCATTCATGTATGCTCAGCACATCACAAGCAGAAATATACTGTCAGCGTCAACAGTATACAAAATAGGCAGAATAAAGACAAGTTATTTACCAAGAAACAAAAACATAGAATTTAGAAATTTTTTTTTACCAAATAAACAAACTGCAAGTCACTGTGGTTTATATCAGAAATGTGTCTGCTGAAGGCAAAAGAGTGTAGGACTGCTTTCTCAGCAACAGACTAGTTACTCTGTGGCTATTTTCAGTTTAGCATTTAGATTTATCAAGTTTATTTTTCTGCTCAGAAGCAAAGCAAGTGCATAATTTAGATGAAATTTGTCTTTCTTTTTTCTTCTCAAAAGATAATATATTTTACGGAAGTTTTGTAAAATACTTGAAATACTTGAACAATAGTAAATCAACATTTTGTATAAACCTCGATATATATTACACTATAATACTACAACATAATTTGCAAACCAAGTATTTAGATATTCAGATGAGATCCTCTTCATTGCTAATTCAATGTAGAAATGGATGTAAAAAAAAAATTACTGAAATCCACATTCACTCTCCTTTTCTTAAGAAAGAAATAACAAACTTGTGCCAGATTTAGCTGCACAATTGTTCTTTTTCTTTTCTGTGAGCTGTCATCTTAAGGTAAAAAGGAATCCTATGGACACAGACAGGTTCTTTCACATTTAGTTAAATGAAGCCTGTCATAAAAAGAACACATCTTTCCTCAACTTTTCCCCACCTCCTTGTTCTGTTGATACTACGCAGTGGTGACTCTGACAGTATCACTTAGCTCTTATTACAAGTCATGTGCATGACCAGTGATCCAGCATGGCCTGAATGCTGCTTTAAAGGTGACAGCTGGCCTGATGACAGCACAGAGCTGGGACTACTCCCCTGTGCTGTGGAGAAACAGGTGGAGGGAGAGGATGGAGCTGTTTATATTTACTAGATTTGATGCTGACTATTCAAATAGGTCAAAATTATGTAGTGTTGGTCTAAAATGAACATGTGACCTTGGAACAGTGGTGTCTTCTCTTTATGCAGAGGTTCTCAATGGGAAAAAAAAAGAACATTCTAAAGCAAACCCAAAAGAGTCCCCTCTCCATGAACCGGTGTTTACTCACAAATCTGTCATGCTTTGATCCAGGGACACTCTTTCCATCTGACTTTCATTGTGGAGAGAGTCTGTTTCCTGTACTTGGCACAGCTCCTCATCAGTGATTATATCAAATGCTGCATCATCTGGTGGTTTAGAGGCTTCACTTGCAACTGTGCCATAAAAGGACATGAAAATAAACATAAACAATATTAGCTGGTTGTCTGGAAAATAAACAAGCAAAGCCCTTAAGGGGGAAGACTGGGCCATTCCTTTGCCTTTACAGAAGCATTAAGTAACTACCAGAACTAATATAAAACCTTGGGCTGACTGACACTCATTTAATGTACATACATGTTTCTGTCAATACCAATCAAATTCAAAGATGGGATCAGTCACACCCTGAAAACACTCCATGACCATCCTGCAGGTCCTCAGAGCAGGAGGTGACCATGTGGTTTCTTGGAGACTGCCAAAGAACCCTACTTATTTCTCCACAGCATGCAAACAATAAACTAACCAAAAGTCCTCTCAGATGGTGACACAGGCGATTCCAATGAAGCTGGTGATCCTTCCTGGTTGGCACTGGATCCAGAGTCATCTGTACTGTCCACAATGACTCTAGGCTTATTAAAGCAAGCTCTGCAGCAACGCTCCTTTTTTCCACCAGGTTTTGTCACCATGTAGTTGTTGCAGCAGTAGTAGCAGAAAATGCGACCACACATTCTAGAAATGATTCAAAACCAAAGGTGTTAGAAAAGCACCACATACAGCTGGAACATATCTACGTGACAGAGTTTGGGGCTTTGTCATAACAGTCTTGTTTTCTGCAAAAGAGTGAAAACTACATCCATGGCAGAACTCATTATACAGACTGTGCTCCTTTCTGAAGTGAAACAAGCCTTCTTGACAAGCACAGGACAGAAATTCACATTCACACTTTGCTACCTTAATAAACAGAGAAAACAGAAAAAACTAAAAATACTAAAAAAGAAATAAAATTACATTTAAATATAAAGACATAAAACAACCAAATGCACACAAATATGCAATACAAATAAATAATATTTATACTAAGTACATAGAAAGGAAATGAGCTTAATAATATCACATAGGCCAAATCTCATACTAAGGTACAGCAAAACTCAACTTGATTGTAAGGACTGTAAGAACACATCTATAAGTCTCTGCTTCATAATAACCCCTCTCCCCTTCAGACAAGAAAGAAAAAACAGTATTGGACTCATACATGTACATTTATCCCTCCTGCCCTCCCCACTCTGAAGTCTCTCAGTATTTTTTAATGAGCATTTAAAGATTTTCATGAAGAAAAGCACCCGGAAGGGATGACTGCTACTCATGAAGTTTTAATGGTTTTGTTTTTCATAATCATTTAAATCATCAACACGAATACCTTTCACAGACTTCAGCAGAAATGAGTAATTTGGAAGTTTTTACCTAAAATGACTTCATTATTCACTAATCCCCATGGAAAGCTGTTTACATTTATATGCAGTTGAAACAGTCCCAGTATTTCTTTCCTTACATGACAAATCAGGTCATGAGAATAAGGAACTGTGAAGAGCCAAACCAAACATATCACTGGGACCCCGAAATGTATCCACTTAAATATAGTTTAATAAATCTAGATTGGATAAATAATACTAACTGTAGGGGAAATAATTTAATATCAACTTTTTAAAAAAAGATTACTCTGCAATTGGTAATTATCTCTGAACATATCTAGTGTAAGTAAAAAAATTTACATTTGCACAGCAGGTTGGAATTTGTTTTGGAATACTTACATCACAATAGCAAAACCATCCTAGTGAATATTGTTTAGAGCATGAAGAGAGAAGAAACACACCAGGTAGAGTGTGATTATCTTTGTTTCCAGAAATGAGATACTATCAGAGTTGCATCCAGATCTTTGCCTTAATACATGTCAAGGGACCTTTCCATTAACGTCTCGTATCCCCTTCTAAGCTCATGTGTTCTTTCAGCCTCTATAATGTCATATATCAATGATTTTTATCATTGAACTGCAAACATTAAGAAATCTTTCATCCATGTAGATGATCATACTGAATTTTGCTTTTGAACGGTGCAATACAGTTGAACAAACTGACCTGCAGTGGTGTCGGCGCACCATCCATGAGAACACTCTCTGGCAGTCCAGACAATGATTAACTTCTGTGTCCCCCTGCCACCTCTGCTCTGCACTGAGCTTCTGCTGGAACTCCAGAGCATCAGACTTTTGCCACAAAGCATCCTTATCTCTGCAGAGACACAGTTAAAGGAAAGAAAAACACACAGAAGTTATCAGTGCTGGTTTACTGTTAACTAACCTCAAATGGAATGCTGGTGAAAGCTTCACAGTAAAAATTCCTTTGCTCTAAATTTCTGAGGAGCTTTCAGAAATAAAGATAGATAAAAAACCTCCTGAAGCTTCTGGGAAGGCAAGGAGAAGAACACATGCCATGTGGAGAACTACATATTTTTGCAAAACAGACAGCAAATTAAGGAGATAACATTAGGTGTTACATTTTTTTACTGTATTAGGGAAATGCAAAATTTCAGCTGCTGATGAATTTGGCTATTACTTGTATCTTTAATTCAGGAATACAAGACTGGACCACCTAGGCAGTATCCCTCAACATCCTAAGCTAGGATTTTAATTTCTGCTTGCTGTTTGTTTTGATGCCAACCTGATAAGTTCTATCAAACGCTCTTCAAGGAAGTGTTTAGTTCTTGTCAGGTCATCCAGTTCAGCAAATAATTTCTGGTCACTGCTGTCTTTGTCTGCTGCCACCTTGCTGAGCTTCTCAGTGTAATCCAGGATCTTCTCTTTTGCTTCATCAGCTTCTTTTTGGATCCTGATCAAATATAAAGGCAATTAAGAATCATTTTTAGCTCATGTGCATTTAAGTCTTTCCCATGGAAGAATGGGCTACTCCACCCTGATAAACAGATAGTTTCAGTGAAATTGTTCTCAATTTTGTGAATTTTTTAGAGCTAGACAGAATCTCTCCACTTTTCTGCATCACTGAAAATGCACATAGTCCACCATCTAGTGAACACAGTCAGTAATCAGCAATTTCTTGGATGGTCTGCTTATAGTAAAGCTTATGATGGCTACCACACTGGGAATAAAACAGATGATATCAGCAAAAAACATAAAAATACATAGGCTTTGGTTAACCCATTAGACTCTGTGTGAGTCCATGCCTCAGAGTTCTATTTCTGATTTCCAGATTATCCACACCACACAGGCCCACATTACAGACCTTGAAAACACAGTCTGAGTTAGATAATTAAAGCTGATAAGAAACGTGGCAAAGACAAGCAGTATGTGGTCCCATTCAAATAATTCTTGCTGATTCCCTGAAGCTCATGTAGAGGAGAGAAAAAACAAACAGCCCAAAACCTTAAATTTTCCATTCCTTACAACCCCCCCCCCCCAATATTGTTTTAATTTTGTGCTTAACCTATAAGGTAAAAGAAGGTAATAAAAACATCTTTAAGTTTCATGAAGGAAGACATACAATGAATTTGTGTCCTCAGCTAACAATACAGTAAAACCTAAACCGCTCATTCATGTGTGCTGTGTAATTTATCTATTTCTTATCTGAAGTGTCAATCTGATATTCCTCATCAGTGCCCATGCACTATTTGCCCTATATAAACCCTGTGGCACACAGTACTTCATAAACCCCAGAGATTTTCATTATGTTTTGGTTATTGTTCCCTTGCTGGGCTTACAATTAATGGCTTGTGTAAAGAACCTAAACACTCACCTTTCCAAGAGTTCTCTAAGAGATGTCACCTCTTCTTCCCTCTGCAGCCGAGCAGATTCTGACTCAGACAGCTGCTCTCTTGCTTCATCCAGCTTTCTGGACAAACTCGTGTTTGCAGCCTAGTAAAATAAATGACCACATTTCCTTACATATAGAAATAACACTTTATCATGCATAGGACCATTACCAGGACAGCTAACTATGTTTCAGAAGAATCAGTTACAGCCACACAACCAATTAAGATATTATTGTATAAGCAGGTGGTAATTAGTTGTGTACTAGTGACTGATTACTTCTGTCACACTGAATAAGGGATAAACTCTAAACTAAGAGAGCATTAAGTCTGTAATTCTTGTTAGTTCATGTCAGTTGAGCTTTTGCCTCTTTATCAAGGAAAATCTCTCAAAGATAATGGCAAAAGAATACACCTTGAAAGCTTTTTCGCCACCTAAAAAATTGAAAAGTAAAAAATTAAGTAGGAGAAAAATGTTCTTTATTAAAGCCATATGGAATATGAAGACCAATGGACAACAAAACCAACTCCTTTCACAGTTAGCCTCTCCAGAGGCTATGTGTATGCCAAACTTGGAGTCCTCAGGGAACATATCCAACTGCATCTAAAGGTGTGTGTATTTCTGTTAACAGGCAGGGCCACATTCAGTAACCTTAACTTCCTTGTTTCTGGATTTCTTACAACTCAGTATGACCCTCCTAACTCAACTGTTCAATAAATTTATTGCAAAAATTCTATTTTTTTTCTGGCTGGGTTATTTCTCAGACAGATTAACTCTCTGATTCAGTGCCCTTTGAAGCCTGAAAACAGAAGGATCCAGACATGTAACTGTGTACAGCTGCATGCTGGGCCTAAGAAAGACACATTTTGAACCTGCACTCCCATTCAAGAAGAGAACACTTAGCCAGGTCTTACAGAAAACCTGGCTAGCTTTCAAAACAGAACAAATCCTAAGTGAAGTTGTGCCTTTCATAATCTCTGCTTTGGTGGCTGTCAGCTGCTGAGTATTTTGTCTGCAGCATGGTGTATTTATTCAAGGGCATTCTCAGACTCACAGCCAGTCATCAGAAATGCTGCTTGCCTTCTCAGCTATAACACTAATGCCTGCTGACACAAACGCCTCTGGTTTTAAATCAGATCAAGCACCTACCTGTAACTCGGTAATCTCTTCCTCCACAGCATGCTGTTGTCGCTTCTGCTCCTCAAGTTGCTCTCTCACTTTCCCACACTCCTCACTGACTGCCTAGCAGAGAGATTGAGCCAGGAGTTAGAAATCTTCTAGCGGCCACCCCTTCATTTACAAAATTCCCAGTTGTGAATCATGAGTGCTCTTAGTGCCATGCGTGTGATAAATGCAGCACCACTTTCAGGCTTATGAAAGACAGCTAAAAAGACACTCAGCTCTTGGAATCAAGGAAACTCCCTCTGTGGTGGCACTAGCTGTGTTTTACTGCTACTTTCCATAGGTTATTACAATTCTGAACAAAAAGAAGGTCAAACTCATGCAATGGCATAAGTCTCTGATCAACCACCAGTCTTAGACGTTATCTCAGAATGGCAAAAAATCCACAATAAAATCTTCAGCCTTTAGGTGTGCTGTTTCACATATACAGGGCTGATTCAGGTTTTTCTGGAAGCCAAACTTTGATCTTCTCAGCTGCTACCTTGAGTAGCTGAAAGCAAAAATACATTAGGGAATTAACTGCAAAAGCATATGTTTTCAGTTTAAGTCTGCTTTCATCAGAATCAGTTCTAAGGAGAAGCAGTGTTAGAGGTGTGGGGAACAGGTCTTGCAATGTTCCTACCAAAAAAGAGAACAACCACAGCTGTAACCAGAGGGAATAATTATAGCAGATGCCACCTTCAGTGCCAGCATAAGAAATCATCACCCTCTCAAGGAGTGGATGGCTTCTCCACTGGGCTTGGACGGCCACACTGTACAGGTCCATAACACTCTGAAGAGTGATTTTATCTCAGATAGGCCTAGGTCATGAGTGTAGAGACATTTTCAGATTCCCAGGCTAAGGTTAGTTGCATGCTAGTCTCAGAGACTGACCTACACAAAACTTAGGATTTCATGCAGTAATTGTTGCAGCAGAAGGTAAAGCAGCTCCCTCAGCTATAATAATTACATTAATTTACCTTGAATTTTGTCTGATAATTTAGAATCTCTGTGCTCATTTGAAATTTTATTGCAGACAGCTCTTCTTGGCTGGTCTCTTGGAAACTCTGTGCCTGTTTCTTTACTGTCTCCAGCTGCAATTGCAGATTTGGGACAGCTGCGGCACATATTTGAGCCTCCTCTAATTTCTCTTGCAGGCTCTTGTTCTCCTCTTTGAGATTAGAGATTTCAAGCTTCAGCTTCTTCTGTTGCTCTGCCGCCTGTTCTTCCAGTTCTTTGAGCCTTTCTCTGGCCTGGGCTAACTGCTCTTCTGCATCCATCTTTTCAGAGGACAAGCCACAAATCTGAATACCAAGTTCAGCCATATCTGTGTTGGTCCTGTGGAGGAGATCCTTGTTTTCTTCATTTTCCATTCTAGCATTTTCCAAGTACTGCTTAACCTTGGATAGCTCTTCCTTCAAGTTCAGCAAATTATTTTCCAACTCAGCTTTTTGATGGGCTGTTGTCTCCTGCTCTTTTTTCAGCACTTCTTCCCTTTCTTTACATTGTAGCAGTTCTTGCACATGGTTTCTGTTGAGACACTCACTCTGCTCTTTCAGCTGCTGAACAAGCACCTTCTGCTCACTCAAGGCAGTCACAGTGACTGCCAGCTCACCTCTCATCCTCTCTCTCTCATCAGTGGTCTGCTGAAGCTTGACTCGCAGGTCAAGGACTTCTGCTTGCAGCCTAGACACTTCACCTCGGTTGACCTCCAACTGCTCTTCACTCATGGTCAGTCTGAAGACCAGCTCTTTTGCCTCCTTCTCCAGGGAAGCTGCCTGCTGTAGTTGCTGTTTTTCCACTGATTCTTTTTCTGATGTGAGGGATTCTATAAGCTTTGTCTGATGAAGGCATGTCTTTTCAACACTGAGCTTTTCTGCCTCAAGAGTCTCTGCTTTCTTTCTGTGTCTTTCAGCTTCTGCTCTCAGCTGCTCACACTGGCTCTCCAAGCCTTGCAGTTCTACTTCCTTCTCTGTGACCTGTGACTGGAGACACTCTTTGCTTTCCTTCAAGGTGCCCAAGCTTTTTTCCATTTCTAAACTATGCTGTTTGGCACTCTTTAGCTGTCCTTCAAGTGAGGCATAAGTCTCCTTGGTGGTCTCCTCTCTTTGCCTTAGTTCTTCATATTCTGAGTGCAGAGCCTCCAACCTCTCCTCCAGAATTTGGCTTTGCCTCCTAGCATTCTGCAAGTCTTCATCCAGCTGTTTGTTCTCGCCCCGGAGCTTTCTTTCTTTTTCATCAACTGACACCAGGGCATCATCTATCTCACTCTGAAGTTGCTTCTCAGAGGCTCTCAGCCTGGCTACCTCAGCTTCCAGGGAAGCTTTAGAAGCTTCCAGATTTTTCAGCTTCGCTTCCATCTTGTTCTTGGACTGCTGCAAATTCACATTCTCTGCTTTCAGCTTCCTGCTCTCCTCATCCAATTCGGTCACTGCAGAGTTTTGCTGCTCCATCTGCTCCTCCAGCTCCTTAACTTTCTGCCCGAGATGCTCTTTCTCAGACATGAGTTTGCGGTTTTGCTCCTCAAGGCTACACACAGTCTGACTCACCTTTGTTAAGTGACCCTCCTGTAGTGCAAGTTGCTCTGCTTGTGACTGGGATGCCTGCTTCAGTGCTCCTTCCCTCCTACCATATTCCTCCTCAAGTTTCTCTTTTTCTTTCCTGGCTTCCTCAAGACTTTTTTCCAGTGACCCCACCTGAGCCAGCGACCCCATTACCTGGGTCTGGAGCTCAGCCATCTCCTTTCCTTTCAGAGTCAGGGCCTCCTGAAGTGCATCCTTTTCCTTTGTCATAGTTTCCAGGCTCCCAATCAGCTTTTCACTTTCTTCTCTGGAGTCAGCAGTGAGGCGATTGTATCTGGATTCCAGTTCCTTCTGTGCCTGTTCTTTCAGCCGCAGCTCCTCCTTTGCTGCTTTCAGCTGAGATGCACGTTCATCATTGAGTCTTTGCATATCTGCCTTTTCCTTCTCCATCTCCTGAAGCTTCTCTAACAGTGCATGTATTTGTAGGGCAGAGTCACACTGGGCTGTGGCTTGCTGCCCCTTTTCGTCCAAGGCAGCATCAACTTTTGCAAGGAGGCTGAGATTCTTCTGTTCTGCAGAACTCAGCTTGGCTTTGAGCTCATCAATGCAAAGATTATTCACAGCAATCAAAGCCCTCGAGGTCTCCAGCTCCTGATTTGAAACCTGCAATTTTGAGGCATAGTCTTCCTTGCTGGTCAACAGCTGCTCCACTTTTGTTGAATATTCTTTCTGCTGCTCCACTGCACTTAATTCCAATGATTGTAGGCACTTCTGCAGGTCATGGACAGTGCTCTGAGTGGAGTGTGAGACCTCACACTGCTTCTGTAACTCTGTGATCATCTTTGTCAGCCGGGAGTTCTCCTCACTGTAGTTATTGCTCTTCTCCTTTTCTACCTGTACTTGCTCTTTTTGAAGGCTGACAGCTGCCTGGAGCTCCTGGTTTTCCATTTCTAGCTGGTGAATACGATCTTGAAGTTCCCTCTGCCTCAGCTCAGCCTGGTCAAGTTCTAAACGCATCTCTTCATAGCCCTCAAGGTGTTCAACATTTAGTGAGCTATTTACATCAGGGCTGGAGGGAAACTCTTGGGCCTAAATGAACAGAGGGGGAAAACCAGAATGTTTAAGTAGTATTAAACATGTACATAAATGCAAGTTCAGATTCTTAACACACAGTGACATTCTACGTTGTGTTCATAGCACTACAAGATATCTACTTATAGGAAATGGGACTTGTTTTCCCAAAAGATAGATGAAAGCATACCTATCTGCAGGCAGTCTTCTGAATATATTTTTTTCCTTTACAATATTTGCTCATTCAGTTGATTCAGCTACCAGACAATTCCCTTTACTTTTAACTAAGAACCCTTTTTTGTAGTTTACCATTGTAAGAATCACAACCATGGTAAAACCACCAAGTTCTCTGGAACTATGGCAACTAAAGATCTACCATGCCACATAAATACTTATTTGCAATCTGCTTACCTGCAAATAGTTGCTCACTAAACTGCTCATGCTGGAACTGCGACTTGGAGGCTTCCATAAATATGCTGAAGATCCAAGCGAGGACAGTGTCCTTCTGTTGATCACACAGAGAAACAATATATAACTCTGAGCACATATATACATGTCTTTCCACTCCTATATGTAAGATTTATCTACTGGTATCTACCACATGCAAAAAGACATAACTGCACCTGGTGCCTTGGCCAACAACCACTGAAGTTGATGAAAAATAAAATAGGGATATCGAAGGCACCTATAAAAGATTATGGGCTGGTAGCCATGACATCCACAGGAACCAGTGCAGTCTTACTCTAAGGAATTGTATTGCTGTGTGGCAGCAGCTCAACCAGGTGGTGGCAGCAAGTGGCCCTAGAAAATTCTCATTGATACAAATAGATCTGGACCAGACCTGGTAGTTTTTGTTATTCCCCAAGTCTACTGGGATCACCATTGCTGCAAGTGAAGCACACTGCTAGCCTGTCCACCCACTGTATGTCTCAGTTCTTAAAACAGAAGCCAAGAACATTTCTTCTTGTGCCTGTATAGATGAGAATGGCTTGGGATTTGGGCCTAAACTGCCATTACTGAAAGTACTGTACTACAGAGCATCAGCTCTGGTTGCTGGGACATGGTATACTAGAAGGAAAAACAGGCCAATTTGTTCATAGAATAATTACATGGAAAAGTATATACCTGCTCCAACACAAGTATTCGTACCTTCAAAAGCATAAACTTTTACAGGTTTTTTAGCAGACAAGTGGTTTATGGCCCTGTTAATACAAAATGACAAAGTGGTTCTATCTTACCTGGCAAATGCTGGCCAAGCAGCATCTAAATCATAGCCTCTTGATGCCAAGTCAAACTGAACATCAGTGAGCTCATAGAGCTGACCCACAATGTCAGAACTCATTTTGGAATTCAGAAATGGACTTCTTGCATAGTACCAGTCACTTGAAAACAAACAAACAAAAAAGAATTAATACTCATTCATAAGCAAAAGAGAAGAAGCAGTTTCTCTTGCAAAAAACCTCAACAACATCATTATTTACTCCACCCCAGAAAAATTAGGATACACTATTCTAAACACAAACTGAAAGCAACTAGACCCACCAAACTACATCCCATCCCTTTGATGTAAAAAAAATTAAACTTTAATTATTCCACATAAATATCTTCAGAGGAGGCCCTGCACAGAAGACTTTTTCCTCTAGTGCTTGGGCAAATCACTGACAATACAATATACTCGCTATACATGAGAAAATCACACAGTAAATACCTAAAGCACTCACTTACTAAATTAAAAATGAGGGACAGAAAGCAGCATCCAGAGCTAAATACACTGTGAAAATAGTTGGCTTATTCTAAATGCCCTAGCGGTGTCCCTCCAAACAACTACAAGCTACCTTTGGTGTTCCCTGCCCAGGGGCAAGTTGTTCCTCTGTATGACAATCCAGAGGCATATGGAAATGCTTTCTAGGGCTTTGTGCAACATATTCAAATTAATCCTCCCTCACGATGTGCAGCTGATCAAACCCAGGATCTTCCATACTTATGAAAACATGACCTTTGAGATCGACACATGGAAGCACCGGTACCACCCATTCCACACACATTTAGCTGTAATAACTTTCAATCTTTACAAGCCCAAGATAGATATGAACCAGTGACCTAGGCCAAAAGGTCTATTATCCTTCATATCCTATTACTAGCTCTCTAAGCCACCCATTTGGAAGAGATTCAACTTCTTTCAATAGCTACTAGGTGATGTTGCTAGATCACACTGAGCAAACACCCATTAGTTAATAAGGTACTTTGCTATTCACCTGGTCACCTTGGTGTTCATAAAACATTGCTGCAAGGTGTCTGCTAGTCTTTGGTGAACCAGGGAGTAACGAAGAAATGCTCTTCCTTTTCCAAGAGATGTTCTTAGCTGGAAGGGAGAAACCACAAGAAAAGAAAATTCTAAATATCATTTGTAATCATGTAGAAACATGGCCAGAACAGTCTATACAGCGCCATAAAAAAACCCTCACAGTAAGCCACTGTAAAGGAAGAAGTTGTTAAGAAAAGCAGGAAGAACTGCCACTGAGAGACACCTTCTCCCAAGTCTGTCATTGGGTGGAATCTTTTTTGAAGGATGAATTTCTTTCTGCAGCTGGCTGTTGTCCACTTTATAATACTAAAAAAGGCATCACAGGACCAATGAATCATAGAATATATGGAGTACCTAAATACAGACTATGCTAAGGACAATTCCCAATATAAGCCAAAACCTCAATATGCCCAGCAGAGCCAGAAGTGACTGCTGAACGATGCTTAAGATGTATATGGCCACAGCTGGAAGAGCTTTAGGAAAGGTCTAGTCATAGAACAAAAATGTACACATATACAAATATACATCCCCATGGACACAGTAACCCCAGATGATGCAAAAAGCCTTTCTTAACACTTAGCCGTTAAGTATTCTTAATTCTTACTTCAGACCAAGAGCAGCTGCATGACTGAAACTGATGGATCTCTTTAGGAAGACAGCTGGTAAATCAACATAAGCAGAATCACAAAACTCAGCACTGAATTTTGTTATAGCTATTGACTTCAAGGATTGATATTTTGTTTTGTCTTTTACATCTGAACCATTTTCTGTCCTGCAAAATAGTGAAACTCCAAATAGTAGTGTTTCACTTTTTCTTTCCATCAAAATCAGTAATCAATTTAGGAAAGGAAATGGAACGTGATGAAAGAATTTCTCACCAAACTGCTCATCCAACTAACAAAGCAAATAAATTCATTATCAAAAATAGAAGACAAGACAAATATTAGATGAGTTGAGGCACAAGTTGGTAGGTTACTGTAAACTTTGCTTGAAAAGTTAGTGTAAAAGAAGGCTCAAAGGTCACACAAGCTTTCTCTCCTGCTGATCAATATTCCACTGTGGTGAAGTGACACCAATACCTAAAACTCTCAACTTCCATGTTTTTGCTGTTAATGGGCTTATGCTCTGAAGTAAGACACAGGTTCATCATTTAGCTCAGTAACCCATTACATACAAAAATGTTCTTTATAAAAGGAACATAAATGAAATGTGGAGCAAAGAAAGCAACAGTCTTTAATGCTTTTTGTTTTGAATTCTATAGGACACAAAATGCAAAAAACATGGTCCCCAAACAATAAGTACCCCAGAAACAGCAAGTTTAATTTACCAACAGGTTTTCACCTTCATTCCCCCTGGAGATGTCTGAAGATTTCTTCAGGGAGATGCTATGCCCACCCTGTGCACAGAAGCTTACAAGCTTTTTTCCTAACTAGGCACATTTAGTGAATACATTAAGAACTGTCCAAAAAAAACCCCACTGGAAGCCACAGAATTAATCCTATCCTTACTCCCATTGGTTTATCAATTTAAATTGCAATGCCTTTTTTAAGCATGGAGATACCAGAACAAATGTACATGATAAGGACTAGAGGAAAATGTATATGCAGCTACAAATAGCCAAAGACTATTTGACTACGAAACAAAACCATGCCACTGCCCTCTAGAGCCCTACTAGCAATCAGGGAGGCAGGCAGCGTCTGGCTTTGGCAGTGTTTCCATTTAGACAGCAAACACTGTAGCTAAGGTGCAATGTATGGCTGTCAAGATTTGGAAAGATGTGTATTCAGTGTAATCACTTCTCCCTGCTCACCTACTGCCATAAAGAATAAAGCCCTCTGAAATTAACAACTAACAGTTTCCAGGGTATTCCATTTGCCTCCTTGCAACACTTCTCTAGCATATCATGCACCCTAATATTAGAAGTACTAAAGGCAGACCAGAAGGGGAGGCATTATGCTGTTAAATGTTTGATCATTCTTAAAATTAACTGCCATTGCTCTTTCCTTTCTGTTCACTTCCACCTTTGAAAGTCAAAGTCTTGTTCCATGAGCAAATAAATGACATTTGGAAACCTTTGTGTTCTATCCAGCCAGGTTCAAAGATTGGCTGATGATTTCTACCTGTAATTAAGGGAAATAACAAACATATTTTTGTGTCATGGACCCAAGTCTGCCAGCTCAGTTATCTGAAGTGGCTGATTGATTCTTTTTTAAGTGTTCATATTCCTAAAGCACAAGTTAATAAAAGAAGTTTTCCACAAGCTAAATTCTATAGTTGCACATAATTTGAAATAGAAAGTATCCTACTTCCAAACAATAACTTCTGATACTGTGCTAACAATCAAGCAGCCAGAGGTATTGAAGGAGGAAAAAGCAAAGTCTTTACATGTGGTAATATGCAGGTGATACCACAGGCGACAGACTGTTAAAGACTACAGCACAATCACCTTTGCAGAGAAATCAGATTGGCTACTGCTACTAAGAATTTAGGGGTCACTATCTATAGTCAGAGGATCTTTCCTGCTGCAGCAGTTACTGCCCTTACTTTGCCAGTCTTCCTGGAAGTAATGGGAAATTCAAATCAAATTTCCATGTCTCTCCCCTCTTTTCCTTCCCAGTGGTAAAACAAACTGGAGCCCTTCCTTGGATTGTTCACCTTGGAACAGCAAAATTTAATACTGTTGAAGTTGCAGGGAGAAGAAAGCAAGGTAAAGAACTCAGGGCCTGCCTCTGCTACAGTATCATGGTTCTTTTTCAGGTGGATCAAAACAACATTATCTAGAGCTGCTGTGGAAGAGTTGCTAATAGGGAAATGTGCTGTAAATAGTAACTTGCCAATACAAGTTAGCCTTGCTCACAGATAATGGCACTGAGCATCAGGACAATGCTGGCCAGCACCACCACACCACCGCCTCTTCAAACGGTTCTAAGGACTCAGACAGGATCAACACAGAAAGCTTCTCACAGTATTTATTCCACCCACTTATTGAGCTGAAGACATAACATGGCTTTTACAAGATTAAGCTTTTATTACTGTATATAACAGAAACAAGGGTTTTTGTGCCGTTCATAACAGCTTAACCCAGGTAATAAAGACAACCATTCCAAGTCATTTCATCATGCTATTTCACACAGAGGAACAAAGCTGAGACAGAAGATGAAATTGCTGCTCTCAGTCAGTCCTCAACTCTACAGACCGGTTGAAAAGGTCTTAAGAAATGTCAAATACGGTGAACCTTTCATCTTACTCTTAGAGCCAAGTCCTGCTGTAAGCTGTGCTAAAGATGGCAGGCTCTACCCTTGACTTAATTTTTCACTTCTTTTTAGAGAAAATGGCACTAAGTTTATGAAAAGGCAGGGTACAACCAAACAGGTCCATTCACTTGTTGTAAGTGGCCTTCGAAACAGGAGTCAAGCTACCTAATCCTCCCTAATTTAATGCTCTAGTAAAAGAGGTAACCTTGCATTTTTATACTCTACATGAGAATTAACAAATAAAAATCCCCTATTTTTTTTGCTGTATGTTAAAAGCAGCGGAGTTTTTTGGTTTGTTTCTAATGCTCTCTAAAAAGACCTATCAAGGCATAAACCACATATTACAATACTTAGCTGATATACTTACTTCTGTAATAGACTTGACAAAGCGGATTCCATCATTAGCTCCTTTGATTTTTGCCAGACAGTCACAGAAATAATCCCAGTAGTCTTTTCTGTTGCCCAGCAATGTGCTTTTTTCTTTCTGGTCAAACTTAAATGAGGGAAAACAAAATGCAATGAGCAAAACTTAAAAATATTTATATATAGTTACTTGGAATTCTGTTCCTCTCCCAGTAATATGCACTTTCATGACTCCTCTTAGCTTTAGCCAGTGTATTCACAAAGGAAGGAGACATTGCATTGTACTGATGCAATCCAGCAGTTACAAAAGCTACTTTACAGACAGTAACAGATAAAAATGTTTTGAGTCTCTTTGAAATACAGACATCCTTTCAAAACTGCTGAAACAAAGATTTACAACAGATTCAGTAGCTGTTCAAGGCAATGAACTAACAACCAGTTGCAGCTTGGGCCACTCAAATCCTGAAGGATTCTTCAGCTTCTGCTGAAGCCTCTGCAACCCAATTAAAACTCCCTTGCCTAGATTAAAGCTAGATTAGCATGTCTTTGTTGCAATCAGTGACACGATTACAGTATATGTGGACAAGATACTATGCAAACTGAATTTCAGTTTGCCCAGCAATGTTCTCTTTTACTTAAATTTTGAGGATGGGGAAAAAAATAGCATTCCAGATTAAAAATCAGCATTTTGCATTAAGCCTTCCATACAATAAAAAAGAATTTCTGAAGTGAAATTGCAAAAAATTCTGTAAATTACTCACACTACTATATTTGCACCATGAACAGCTCACTACTATTTATTTTGCATCAAAATGTTGTCAAGAACTCATTACCACAGTTTTTTTCCAGGATAACTTAGCAGGATATATCTCTAAAATCAAGCTCGGATCTTTCAGATCCATGAAGAAATGCCTTACATTCTTCAATCAAACTGCCAGCTCTTCCTTTTGATTACATTTATTTTCACTTGAAATAAGTACAATAAGCAGCATGCATTTCAGTCCACTTAAAAGACACACACACAAAAAAAATAAAAAGACACTCAGTTGGACATTTATGATTATTTGAGTTAAACCCCACATATTGAACAGGCAGTGAGAGAAAACAAGGCTGAGTTTTGCTGGTGGATTACAAATGACACACATCATTTTCTACCTGTAGAAGGTACTCAAGCTTGTAGGAGAATTTTTGCAAGTTGCCACTGTCATCTGTGATCGGTTCCCCTCCTTCTTTAAATTCTTTACTTAACTCAGTCACAGCATCTGTGAAACAAGACACCAAAATTGTTAACTAATGCAAATGATATATAGCACTGAATCCATAAACAACTAAATAAATGGTTTCTTCATGGATATTTTTTGCATGTGTCTTCATGGATGTTTTGCATGTGTATTCAGTTTCTTTTAGCTGAAATGTCTTAATGACAGGGCAAAAAAATTACTGATATGCTTGCAATTTAAGACCACCTGTAAGAAAACTAGAGCTCAAGCTATGTCAATCTGCTGTGTGGACTATTTCTTCTTCTTAAAAGGACACTTAGCACTTCTGACACATACCAAAAACTGGTAACAGACAATTGCTAACTGCTACCTCAGCAGAGGAAAGAGAAATAACTTTTTGCTGTTTCATGTGCACATTAAGGTACTGCCACAGAACAAACAGAATTCTGATTAGAAAGGACAAAGCATGTAATCTGCTAAAGGGGATCAGTAACACAAGAACAGTCATTCAGTCAGCACATTTATCTTCTCCATGCTTTATTCAGGAAGGTTCAGCTTGTGCTGGTTACAAACACAAACGGGGAAAATAATTTACATAAAAAAAGCATACAGTAACTTCTCTTCCCTCAAATGTACAGCCATAGTGGGTGAGGAAAACTCAAGTCAAAACAAACTCTGTTGTCCTCCTGGACACCCTAACCCCCAACGGGTGTACTTCTCAGCATCAGAAATTACTGATTTTGAATTTGCTTTCCACTTGGGTTTTGTACTTAATTCAGGTGACTGAGTGAGCCTCAGCTCCCAGTCCGACTCGATCGCCTTTGCAAATTAAAATCTCTTGTTGTTAGCAGGTACACAGATCTCATTGTTTTATATTGCGGGAAGATCAAGGTTCCCAGTTTTGGTGCATATGCTTTATATTTAATAAAAATTTAAAGGAAAAATATCCGGATCTTTGTATAAGCAGCTGATTAGGACAGAGAGCAGGCAAACTGTTAAGAATCTGCTGCCAATTCTGCCTGCAACAGAACTGTTGAAAATGAGGTTGGCTACGTCCAGTGGAGGATAAGTTAGGTTCCACTGCAGCAAGAACAGCAGGTTCAATTCGCCAGCACTCTTCCTCTGGATCTCCCTTCCTAGTTTGGTTTGGCCTCCTGTTTTTTTCCCCTTCCCACATTAGCAGCAACTCCACACCAGCTTCCCATCAAGGAAGGGTCTAAAAATCAGGCCTTCTTATCTCATATGAAGTCTTGTAACAGCATAGCTCTAGGCACGCCAACAAAGTCCTAGCTCACAATGCACACTCCACAGACACCTTTTTTAAAATTATATTTAAAAATTATCTCTTATCTTGCATGAAAAATATTTCTTATTTCTTATCTTGTATATTTAAATTTGCAGGATTTAGGAATTTAGGGTCCTGCAGAAAGTACAGCATTTGTCTCACAAAAAAACGTCAGTCACATCACACACCTTGAATTATGTTGCTATAATGGCTGCACGAAAGAGTAACAACTGAAAACACAACTTCTACTCTGTGTTATCTAAAACACAGAGGATGCAGTCCAGCCCACAGAATGCCTCTGCCAGCATGGCACTGTACCTTGCAAGTCTCTGATAATCCGCTGCAGTTGGCTTTCACCACTAGCTGCTGCCATCTCGAAAACAAAAGGAACTCCCCTTCTGGGCTGTTAACCTTTTCATCCATCTAGATAAAAACAGCAGAGTTCATATCCTTGATGACCATTGGGTTGACGTTGACTATTTTTCTCTGTAACACCTGCAACTGTAAAAATCAAAAATTAAATGAAAGTTTTTATCAGTTCAAATGAGCATCAGAGAGGTGCTTTGGCATTTTAGATCCTGTTTAGTGATGAATTCCAAGGCCAACTCTTTTCCAGGAATCTCCTTTTTTATTTCCTTCTAGATTTCACTTCCCATTTCAATTATTTCTTCAGTTATATCTTTCAAAACTACTGAGCAAACCTCAGAGAGCAATTTTCTCTTGCTGTAGATACAACACAGTCAGTTGTACAGCCCAGCTCAGGCTGGCATTTCATGCAATCCATCTCGTGACCCTGATGGAGGTTCCAATGACATGTGATTTTCCCTCTCGAAGCCCTCTGCTAGATCTTCCCTACAGGCTGCAGAGTAAAAAGATATGACAACTTTTCCATTTCAGGGAGACTTTCAAGACATAGAGTAGGCAGGGACCAAGGAATCAAAAAATGATGCATTCTTGATTCTCTAGCACTGTAAAGTACTTTTAATGCATAAGAGCTACTAAAAGATGTAGTACTGGAGCCTGGTTTTAGCACGAGAAACACCTCTCAGCCCGTTCTCAGAACCCACTGTTCCCAACACATGTAAGAGGACACCACTTTATTTTAAGCTCTGTTACAACATCCCTGGCCAGACAAACATACCTTGCACCACCTCCCTTGCTTAGGACAACGATGAGTTATACCTAGCACTCATAGATAATCTTTCTGTAAGTAAAATTAATTAAAAGCCTAAAACACTTTACTATAACTATGCCTGGGGATCCAAACTTTCAAACACTAATCTGGGAACAATCATTCAGAAAAAAAAAGGCCACACAGAAACCGTATAGGGAACTTACTAAGCATCCTGTTCAAAGGTTGTTCAGAATTCCATCTGCAGTGGTACAGCCAAATCTTCAAGCAAGCACAACACCCAAAGTACTGAATCTTTAGAAAATTTGCTGTTACGCTTCAGTGCTTTTGTTATAATTCAAGATTAACCACAACGAAACTAAGTTTTAATTAAAATCTTACAAATTTTTGAAATCTAATGTGACTAGGTCAAATTATTACATCTCCTTTCTCTTTCCTTTCTTTCACTCCCGAAAGAACTGAATTGGCATGGCTGATGTAGGTGTCTGAATTAATCAAACGGACCATCCTTCCCTATGTATCACGGTATTGTTACAAAATGGTCCTGATGTGATCCCCCATTCTTTTCCATTTGAAGGAAAGCAAACCTTAACAAAGCCACAGAGACAGAAACACGATAAAGTATAAAGAGAAGGCTGAAACTAGGCTTACCAGTGTGTTTCTCTGAACACTTGTCTTTCGTTACCTGCTAGTTTCCATTTCCATATTTTGATGGTAGTTGTTATGTTATGACTCAAGTGTCACATGGGCCATGTGCTGTCCGGTGAAGGGCCTTGGTCACCACAACTGGGTAGCTTCGGGGAGAGAAGGTCAGATGACCTTCTGTGGTGTCAAACACAATTTTTTACCCTAAATCAACAACATTACATACCCAAGACTCCTCCTGGCAACTTGCTGAGCTTGGGTACCAACAAAAAAAAGCAAGAATAACAATCCGACTGAGTCGATGTTTCCTTTTCTAAGCACACACAGTAACATCAGCCATATCTGTTCAGTTTGGCAACTGCTACAGAAAGGAGATTAAGGGAGAAGATTGTGCCATGTGGGCAATGCAAGCTAAAAAGTGTGACCAAACCAAATGCTCTTCCTCACACAAAGAGGGAAAAGAGCAAGGACCAAACAAGGGGATCTTGCCTATCCTTCCCAAAGGCCAGAACAAGCTCCCATTCAAGACTTCAGAGGCACAAAGAGGCATGCCAGGAAAACAATGACCAGGCCAACGGCAGGCATGTACAGAGAGCCTGGAAGATAAGGTAATTGGGAATTGAGCCCTTATTTTGCAATAACCAGCAGGGAGGAGGATATGGGGCATCCTACAGCAGACAGGCACAGCACAGGACCTTGTCAAGTGCTAATTCCCAGCAGGGTGCCCAGTCAGATATTCACTGGAGGAGGACTAAGGCAGTTTAGAGTTTCCCCAGCACCACTAGCACTGCTTAAGTGAGTGTGTTTGCCCAGAAGTCACAACAGCTCAGTGGCACAGCACAGGGGAAGGCTGTGTTCCCAATGGATTGATTCTCTTGTGTCAAATCTGCCCAAGACATGCATCTTTATTCCCACTGGGATCTCCTAGGCAGAATGTGAAAATCCCGAACAGAGACCACAACTCAGCTGGAGGGATGTGGCTGCACAGCCCACTCCTCTGTCTACTCCCTGTCACCCCTTTTCTCAATACCTGGAGCAAGGTCTCACAGCTCCCCCTTCCTTGCATCAGTTCCCAACCCCTGAGACATCCATTTAATGCCTTCTCTTTCCAGAGGTGAAGGGGATCTTTTGACCTGGGCTATTACATAAGGCAAATGTGCTGAAACTTTTTTACTTGCCTTCTCCTCTGCAAAATGGGGAGAAAGGTACTTCTCCCCTCCATGGTCCTTCCAGAGGTGTTAGAAAACACAGTCCATCCCTCAGAAAGGTGCAGAGCTCCCACTTCTAGTGATAAAGAAAGCTGGTAACGTACCTTAGCTGTTTTCTCAATGTTTCAAAATAGGAAGAACTTCTGTAAACACCTGATCTAATCCTTCCTGATCACAGAATTTGGAGCACAACCTTGTTCCTCCAGCATTTCCTATCCTATTATGCACGCCTGTAAATATCTGCTATGCAAAACCAGCATGATACATTCGCCAGGCACAAATGACCTGCTGCGGGGGTCAAAAGCTTTTCAGATGATGCATCATTACCTCTTACATAACAACATAACAGCACTGGACTAAGGCTGATGGCATTAACTTGCACAAGAACTGCAGAGCTGCCATGACATCAGTGCAGCTACACTAAGGACGTGGCACAGAGGAGGCAACACGTCATCAGTCCCTCCTCACACTCTTGGGCTGTGCCTGTTGATCTCTGAAGGTGGTTCCTGCCTCTCTTGCTGGCATAAGTACTAGTGTGGGGGTGACAATCTTCTTTACAGAGGAGGATATCCTGGAGATTAAAGAAAGAAGCAGAAAGGAAATAGCCCACGTCCAGGAAAAGAAAAGATTTACCTGAAGGGGAGTGAGACACATATAAAACAGGAAACAAAGTTTAATGACTGTAATTAAATTGGTTAGTGGAGTAGCTACAATGACCTACTTTTTATCTGATTGTATAAAATTTTCTACATCATGTCTGCATCTCCAGCAGGTACATTTTTTTTTTACTTCATTGGTCAATTTTGGCCAACTTTGACAGAAGGTAGTTGTCTTCAAAATATTACACTTCCCCATGCGCAATCAGAACAGTAATTTGGGAGGAAGACCATGAGCGGAGTGTCCCTTCATTGATAAAAAGGCTGCAGTGAGACCTCTGTTATAGCCTGATATCAGAGAATCCACTCCCCACTCATGTGCCTTTTCAGCGTACTCTAAGAGCAGAGCTCACACTGCAGACTTGGTGTAATTCAACTAAGTAGTAAATCAGATTTACAAGAACTACTCATTGGAAACCAAGATCCACTACTTTGTACTGCTTACAGAAATATTTCCTGTTAACATAACTACTCTGGTCTAGCCATTATAAACAAGGACACTTCATCACATGTCCCTCAACATTATCATAAGACCTTTAAATATTTGGTGCCTGCAGTCCTATGCCTGTTCTAACATTCTATATGAAACGAAACAGACAAGTGAGGATACTGAGATAAAACTTATGTTTGTGAGTCACAACAACCTTAACTGTGTTATTCCCTTGTGTGGTGTGAACATGATTTGTCCTATAAAAGCAGATACTGACTGATAACAGCAAAGCACACTGTGGAAAAAAACCCCAACCTATCTGGTCATACAGTTGGCTACAAGACACACTAACAAAAGAACACTGAATACAAACCTCACAGCAAAGATGAAGAAAGAACTGGGAAAAGAAAATCCCTAACTCTCAGGACTGCAACACCACTGATTTAGCTAAATAATTTCATTCCAGTAATTGTCTGGAAAAACTACTTGGTACTTTGTTGTTACAGGAAACAGAGCCCCAGTGGAATTCTTGGCAACTGTGCTGCTAGCTTTTCCCATTTTGTACCATGCAGGTAAATAAAGCTGCACATCCATGAAGCTGAAGAACTGTTTGCTGGAAGTAAGAGTCTGAAGTGAGCTGTAAAAAGGACAGAGTGACTCTTCTGTCATAACCACACACACGCTTTTACTGGGCAACTCAAACCTTTGTGCTTTAACACCGCATGCAAAGAAATGTGACTGATATAAACACACGCTGGACTACAATACATAGGACAATTAAAAACAAAAGGCAGGCGCAGCCTGAATGTCAGCTAGGGTTTCCATTCTGAGAAGTGAAATTTTCTTGCTAAATTAATCTTCCCCCTGCATTTTCTACACCAACAAACCTTCACATTTCAATGACAAACAAAAATGTTTTGGAGGAATGTTTTTTATTTCTTCTAGTACCTCAAGCATGAGACCATGCTGCAAATCCATGCTGACACACACAAACCTTGTTTTGAAGTTTATTTTGGCATAGCAGAATAGAGTAACGAGATGAAGTGCATAAAAACAATCATGTATTTCACAAATGCCTCACAGAGAAGAAGCATTTTTATAGTTAAGGACTCCTTAGAGTAAAGCTGTTTTTGTGGGAAGGCTCTTGTGTTCTAAGGATATTTGCATTTTACAGCACAAACTAACAACATTCATAAAATGCTGCTTGCACCCCTAATCTGAAGGAGAGACTGACACAGAAGAATCAGTAAAGTTTTATAAATTTCTTTGTGCAATCTTCCCTTTCTATGAACAACTGACCTGCATTCCAGCCCTATTCCTTGTATTTGCAACCTGTTCTCAGAAAAAGATCAAAACTAGGCAATAGACATGACTATACTAGTGGCACGGTAAGAACTCCATGAGACAGAGTTAATTTTTAACCTCAAGTGGGCAAAGCTGGCAACCCTAACAATTTTTTTTAATGCTGCACCTACTGAATTGCACCTCCACTCTAAGACCTGGCTTAAAACTCTTTAAAACCTTACACTGAACTTTGCCACACAGGACAAGAGATCAGACTTTGCATCAGAGGAGAGACAGAGACTCCTGTTAAACAACATGAACTCAAACGATCACTTTCTTCAAACAACATCACAGGCTTGTACATATCTCACAAAGACAACCCTGTCTCAGCCCTATCTCATGACCAGAGAAATTCCCTGTTTGAGGAAGCAGTCAGTTTACAAAGAGAAGAGCACTCTTCTGATAACAGGAATTGCACTAGTATCACTTTTAACAAACTCCTGTGCCCTTTTTCCTTAGAACACACCAGACCTCGCCCCATGTCAGGAGTTCTACCTTGTTTACTAATATCTACCAATTAACCTAACCATAACTCTCCCAGAGACTTGCTTCTTCTCAGCTGCTCCCATCCTATTTCACTCCCCCTCGAGAAGGTATCCCTCTGCCTGTATGGTGAGTTGAAAAGATAAATTTCATTCAGAAGTTAAAAGGTTTTTCCCCATTCGTGTTCTCATACTCCTAAACCATTCTCCCCATGTCCTCGTGTACCCTCCCTGCCAGAAAACCTGCTCTTCCTCTCCATAACTCACACAACTATTGACACATTCTTCAAGCCATACACCTGATGCTCAGGTGCTACTCTGAGGAGCACCCTGTAGACACCTACAGAAATAGAAACCTACAGAACACCTAGAGAAATAGAAACAGCAGAGGACTTCCAGCTGCAAAGGAGTGTTGGTGATTCATGACACCCAACTTGCTCATGGTCCAAGCCTGGAGATTTCAAAAACTCTCATGTTTTTCAGGTCTCCAAAGTTGGTCTCTGAGTTTTGTTAACTCCCTCAGCAAGCTCAGCCTGACTAAAGCATTTCAGCCACCTCCGAGACTTTGGGATAGGTTAAAAGCAACAACTATTACATCCCGGCTCTTTGGAATGGGACCTTTCCTTAGCAGGATTTTTTTACCTCTGTATCTACCACTCCACGCAGGCTTTCCAAGACAAAGTTTCAAAGGTACTTGAAAAGGGGCTTCCTCAAGCTAATGGGTTTGAGAAGTTTGGCAGGTGGGTGTTGAGACTTGCCCACCAGTAGCACTGCATATGTCCAACAGCAGTGGCAGCTCCCTAGGACAACTCCTGGCCTGTATATACTTCCCAGTGAACTAGCAGCCTGCAACACTGAAAATTACAGGTTTTGGCCACATGCACATAGATCAAATAGAGGGCAAGGCAAGCGAAAAGCACGCTGAGACAACTCAGACTGACAGGCCACCAAGTGATTCATGCTGCCCCAGAGCCAACAGAAAGAATTCTTGTTTTCCTTCCTCTGTAGCAGGAAGAACAGAGTATTTCCTCTCCCTCTTTTCTTGTGGGTTTTCTAGTGTAGGTCACCATTTCGTAGGGAAGGGGAAATTTCAGAGTTTCAAGCCCCAAAGTTTGGAAGAGAGGCCTGTATGAGACTGCCACTGCTGGGCTGGCTGGGAACAGACAGGCTCACAGATGACGCAGGCTTGGCATGAGCCCAGTTATTCAGGGATACCCTGATCCAACCGGTTCACTTTCAAAACCTAAATTGGCTTGTAGCAGTAGCAAGAGCTTTCCTGTTCTCATTCTTCTTCCCAGCAGGAAATTAAATGTCATGGTGGACACATTTAGGGGTTAACTGTTTCTAAATATCTTTGCCGAGATCACTATACCATGAACAAACACAGAATACTCTGATGGACAAAAATATTAAATCACAGGGAAGGGTATACAAGTCAAGGCCCTGTGCAGCAAGTTTCCCAGCACTGTACCAAGCACCAAGATCCGGGCACTCTGCAAAAAGGCTCTGCTCCTTCTACCAGTGTTACAAATGTAAAACCATCTTCAGAATACATTTGGGCAAAGTACTTTAAATTAGTACTACTACAGAATTTTTGGACACAAACAGCCACCACTCCCTGGACAAACAGGAATTACTACATGAAAATATGAACTAGACTGGATACAAGCTGCTAAAAAGTTTCCTTGCTTTGGCAAAACCAAACACATAAAAACATAGTAATACAAATAAATAAACAAACCCAGTAATATGTAACAATGAAAGCACTCAGGGCTCTTACAGTTCCCTTCAGTTTAATAATCTCAACAACATCTAAAGAATACTAGAAGAGTTCAGGGTTTATGTGACAAATAGGCAATTGTTAATTTTTAAATGTAATCAACTAAGAAAAACAAATAAGAATTTGAGATTAAAAAAAAATCAGCACTACTTTTCCTTGAGTGCATTGCATAATTTCCACAATTTTACATAGTTTCCTTTATGTCTTTAAGAGTTTTCTCTCCCTAGTTGTTTGTTTAGATCTGGATCACTCACAGAACAAGTCTTAGAGGATCCTGGCCTCCAGGACATTAGGACAAATTCCTATTCCTTTTATGTAACCCCCTAGCAGTGGAGAGAGGGACTGCAAATACAATACACTCATTGTTATCAGATGGTGTACATAAGAGACTCTTTTATACGTCAAAATTAGACTCCATAACGAACTAACAGGTTCTTCAGAAGAAGCAGTGAAACCATGTTTACAACAAATGCTGTCAAATATCACGGCTAGGCTTCGCAATCGAAGATTTAGGAAGGCTCTATCCACATTTGTTACAAGCACGCTGGTGGCTAATGAGGCCAATACGAGATAGACATGTCCGATTGCAAAAGGCACAGCAGAAAGACTCCTTAGGTGGTATATTCCGCAAGACACGATTCTTTCTGCATGGTCTTTTCTATACTACAACAAGCAGAGCAAAATAGACTATCACTTGTTTTGCACCGAAGCATCTTAGATACAACTTTTTAACTGCAGTGCAGTCTTCTGAATGTGAATGTTTGGAGACACTATTTGGATTATCTAGCACATTTTTTAAATTCAAGCACTCCCACGAGGATCATTTAAAGACTACAGGAAACTGCCCTGTACACAATAAAATCTGGAAAACATAAAACACGCTACTGCAAGGCAGTCTATCTCCTCTGCCGCATGTTCTGAAACACCATGTCAGAACTGAAAATAAGAAAAACATCAAGAAAGAACATGTTGCCTTGTTCCTGACAAGACAGAGAACATGTTTTACCCTCAAAGTTTCATCCTAGCTTGCCTCGTGTGTGCATGAAGTCTGAGCTGGATAAAATCAAACACCCACTTTCGATCTTCAGCGTTAAAGAGGCAAAGGCCTGGTACTGCTCCCTCTGTTTAAACTTGAAACTTCAAACTTGATTTCAAGTGAGAAGCAGAACCAGGATTGTGACACCTGCAGCCGACCAACTCTGTATTTGAAACAAACCTTGCACACATCAGCAGGAGGGTGAGTGCGATGACCCAGCCCGAAAACACCCGGGTCCTGAGCTCCTGAACAGGCAGCTGCAGCAGCAAGGAATTCACCAGCTTCCAAAACACGGCACAGCCCCTCCACAGTCCAACTCACCACCGCAGGACTCACCACCAAGGAGAATCCAGAGCACAAAGGCGGCGGACAACCAGTTCGCTAAAACCTTTCTTTTTTTCCCTTTTCCTTGCTCACTCTGGATTACCAGGATCAACATAAGCCGGAGGAGGAGGCTGCAACCCCGGCATCTGCTCTGGAGACAGACCCAGCCGCCCCGTGTGCCAGCAAAACTCTCTCCCTCTCCATCCGCCGGAGATTTGCCGACACAAGGGCAAAACGGGATTAGGGGCAAGCGGCAAATATTTGCCTGTCAGCACTTTATAGCGGGGTGAGGGCACGGACACGGGAGGGTGTTTGGTTTCCAGCACGGTGACTCCGCTCCTCCTACAGCCGCAGGAGGGGAGAAAACAGAGGACAGTGTTCGTGTCGGTTTAAAGTCATCCCTCACCAGGTGGACACGATGACACTTAGGGGGGACTGGCTCTGGCTGGTGGCCGATGTCCGCCTCGGCGGTGCCCCTGAGGGCTGGGGAATCTCCGTTCGAGGGGTATCCCAGGCCAGCAACCAGAGCCCACCCTGGGCTAATGTGCCCGTGCCCGTGCCCGTGCCCGTGCCCCTGCCCTGCCCGCGCTCACTCCGCCACAAGGCCGACCCCGGCACCCCAAAGGCCGCCGGCATCTCTCTCCCCTCCGGGGCTCCACCCCTCGAAACGCAGCTCCAAGCAGCAACAAGTGGAAGCCGCTGAAGTTACTTCCCCCCCGCCCCCGCTCCCTCTGGCAGCCGCTGCCTCCTCCCCCCCGGCCCCGCCGCGCTCCCCCGGCGGGTGTGCGGGAGGTGTCGCTCGGTACCTGCGCGGCCGCCGCCGCCGCCATGTCGCGGAGAGGCGGCCCGGGGTGAGGCTCCACCGCTCCCCGCCCGACTACAACTCCCGTGAGGCCGCTGGACGGGCCTCCCCACCCCCGGGGCGGTGGCTGGAGCCCCGCCCGGGACTCCCAGAGGCCGTGGGGGGGAAAAGGTCTTTGGTGAAAACAGGAGGGGTTTAAGTGGCTGTGGGGGGAAAAGTCGCTGCTTTCGGCTACAGCTGCAGGGTTGGGGTGGTTTCCTCTCAGGAGGTGTGTTTCTGGTACCCTCAGACAAGGTCGCTTTTTACAGAATTACAGGATTAAAGCCACAATGCTTGTGACTTTATTAGTTTCATGAACTTCAGCTTAGGCAGCCATAAGATCAAAGCATCCCATTTTCAAGACTCTTGAGGAAGTACATTTTGTACATAGTCACTGTACATGGTTTCCATCATCCTCACTTTTTCATCCTCCATGCAGAAGAATGACTAAGTGACCTTAAGTTTTGGTGATTAATCTAATGTATGGTTTTTGAATAGCTCAAAAGCATTTTAATGTCCTCAGAAATACAGGTTATAGAGCTTCACATGTTGTGGGCACATGACTTGTGAAATGCAATGGGATACCTAACATAGTTTGGAAGGAACCTTCGAGCTGAATTTTCTTGGCATGCTTTGCTGAATCATGCAGCACAGTGCCAGGAGCACCTACTGAAAACAAATGTTTGTTTTCCATTGATCTGTAGACAACTGGCTGTCTTCCAAAAGTAATCTCAGAGTCATCAGATGCAAATAATGGTAAATCAAATCCCATATAATTTACTGCAATGGATTTTTTTTTACGTATTTTCAAAAAGTTGGTGTGCAATTCTACTTTTCATTTAAAAATAATCAATTAGATTGAATTGTTCCTCCTTTTAATTATGTAGTTACAAACTACTTTCTGAAATATTTAATTATTGACATTAATTATTGAATCATGTTTACATACATATCAATTTCTTCAGTGGAAAATATGCTGTTTCCAACTAGGTCCGTAGCTGACCAACACTTCCTTATAATTTTCTATATTTTCTCATTTCTTAGCAATAAAAGAAGTTCAAGATTTTTCCTTTTTGGAAACTGCACTAGAAAAAAATGCGTTATCTGCTCCATGTGTGTTGCTTTCCTTTATTTTTATTCTGATAAAATTCATTTAATAACTTCTTCATAAACTGTGGTAAGAGGGATGGAGATTATTATCAATTTTACTTGCTTGGGAAAGGCAATGTCAGTCATCCCAGCAAAAGTAAAACCTTTGTTGGGAAAAATTTTTTCACTGCTCGGTGGAATGTAACAGAGGTAGCCACCTCAATCAACTCAAATAAATAAATTGCTGCTTAACATATATTAAGGATCCTTAAAGATTGTGTTTACATTCTGTTCCATATTGCTGAAATGTAGGCCAAGATAAATATTTCAGGGCTGAAACTGACTTCTGACATCAGAAGTTAAATCTAATGTTAGATGCAGTTCCTTGAGAGTGATTCTGAAAATACAATTTGAATATTGAGTGGTTTGGGTTTGGGTGGGGTTTTTTTTCACATTTCACTAGATGCCACCATTTCTATACAAAGTTTGCAAATAAATATAGGATCCTTTAGTTTTAATTGTGATGAAAAAATCATACACTGTCATCAACCATTTAATGCTGGCAACACTTTGGTACCTCATTGACTAGAGCAGGTCTTTACCAAACCTTCTAAATAACTGGGATCTATTAAAAAAAAAAAAGTCAAAACAAAAAAACCAACCAAACAAGGAATAACAGAAAAAAAATGTGGTCTCCTGTGGATAGTAGATTCTGGAAATATTTTGTCATGTTCTCGGAGTATGTGTCCATAGAATACATTCTTTCCATCTGTCTGACATTATTGTTACATGTGCTACATATTTTCTTTAGAATTTTTAAAGAGTTAGTTGATGTTATATAATGACTGGAGAGGGTTTTGCTTCCTCTAGGCGCTTGAGGTATTTTATGAGAGCAGAAAACTCCCAGTTTCCCTGGTCACCCTCAGTGGATTAACATACCATTGTAGCTAGACTGAACAACAGGCTGCTGTTCATCATCAGAGACCTTCTTTGACTGTGGGGAGAAAGCTTTGGAAGCACTTTTTGCATTTGATTGCATTCTGTTTTGAATAGGTGGACAAATAATTGTCAGTAGGTATAAAGCTGGAAACAGACAACATAAAAAAAACCAGCAAAGCTCTGGAAAACCTCTAGAAGCATTTTAGACAAGATGGCTGAGGAGCTTGGAGGAGTATTCTGCTAATATCAGGTCAGATTCTGAGACTGACTTCCACCAGAGCACACTGGGCTTAGGAGTTATCACTGCTTAGGACTGGCTGCATTTCACTCCTATGTGGACAAAGTAGGTACCAAGATTTTGAGCTGTTGGTGCTGATTCAGCTGAATCAGCAATGATATGGCAGAGCCAGGATGTAGACTCTGAACTGTGCAGTTTAAATGAACCCAAGTCCCCTACGTGCATATAGATGGATGGCACATGGATAAAGAGCACACTAAGGTTTAGGAGATTAAGAGATAATTATGGTGACTGTACTGATACTGCCATCAAGAAACAGAACTTGACCTTATAAAGCAGCATTGTTTGGAGGTATGAAACAAACTCAAAAATATTTTACTTCTGTTACCTCAGCAGTTCCTGAATATGGAGAGAGTAATCCACTCCTTGCACTTTCCTTTGTTCTTCTTGGTTTCTTGCTTCACTGGATGAGCAAGGGCATTTTGAATTGCTGAGTAACCATAAGGAGAAGATAAAATAGAATTTTATTTATGATTTCAATACACTCAATATTTGGAAATGATATATAAATGAAGGTATCCTGACTCTCAGTGAAAATATTTCTGGCAGTAAGAAGTGCATGCTGTGCTTTGCCAATGCAATGCACATATTATGAGTCTGAATCTTGCAAAAGCAAAATTATCATTGATTTGAGTAGGACGCTTTCTTAAACGTGTGGATTTTAAGTTTGCTTGTTTTGTTTAAGACAGTTTGCATTAGTGATGGAAAGGATTAATTTGGTTACCTGCCTTAACCCTTACCAGTGAGGATTTTCCCTGCTGGCAGATCACTGACTGATACAGGCTCCCATGGCTGCACAGAAGGTGGGAGCTCCAACAGGCTCTAGCAGTGAGGGTCAGTTTTGTGTTAACCTGCCAAAAATACAGGTAGGGAAGAGCCTAATCCAGCTAAGATGCTTGTGAGAGAAGCTGTTGCTCTGCCATTCCCGCTGGGTGGAACTTAATATGTACTTAACCAGAGCAGCAAGAGCGTATCTATTTAATTGTAACTTGAAATTAGGGTTAGTGGTGCCATCCTGCATAAAGGCACCCCTGACACTATACAGTAATTGTAGTACTGTCACTGCTCAACGTGTCACTGCTCCCCAAATAGGCTTCCAAAAGCAATTAGTTTCTCCTTTTTCACTTCACAAACTTCTTTCTCTCTGTTCTGCATTTGCTCAGACCATGTAATAGTTGATTGATTGAAATTAAAGACTCAAGGTCCCAAGCATGATGTTGTATCCAGAACAGTCTGTTTTTTCCAAGCATCTGGAGTTCCCAGAAGGAGAGAGATGCACAGACCGCCAATCCCCAGACATATCCAGTGGCTTTAGTAATACAAATCTTTAATGGCATATGTGTATAAGCAACAACATATTTCCACTTGACAGTGGATACAGCTCCAAGTGCCTTACAGGGAGTTGGTGTACATGACGTATGAGAAGACTAGATTGGTTGGGATATGTTCAGTCCCAGGAAAAAAAAAGGCTTAGGGGAGATCTGTTGGCTCTTTTCCATTACATGATACGAAGACAAAGAGAAGGCAAGGGAAAATGCAATGTCACCAGGTTGCAGGAAAAGAAATTTTACTCATGTAGAAGGAAAGAAATCCACCCTAAGAGTTGTTAAGCATTGGAACAAGGACCCAGAGGAATTATGGAGTCCCTGTTCTTGGGGATCTTGAGAATTTGACCAGACAAAGCTCTGAGTAACCTTTCCTGACAGGAATGATAGAACTTCTGTGAGCAGCATGGAGGAGTGCATGACCTCAAAAAGTCTCTTCCAAGCCAAATTAAGCTTTGAAAATTCATAATTACTTCTTCAATTAAAAATACCTTTTGTATAATAGACAGTTGTCAACAGCTGAGAACAATACTTACAACGTAGTATTCCATTGAATTTCTGAATGTTTATTAGTACCATTTCATTATATCAGGAGGCAAAATATCCACATTCTGACTTACTTTGGTTATGGCAGCAATACAGTCAGGTAATATTAAGCATCCCCTTTACATGCTCAGATATACTGTAACAAAATATACTCAAGCAACAAATAGATTAAAATAACTTGTTAAAAACTGGGCAGAGCAGGATCATTTCA